ATTGTCTTTTGGAGTCTAAGTACTATATGACGTGAATTATCTATTAATAGATACTTAAAGCTTTAGAGCATTATGTCGAAATAATAAATAGACAAACATTTTGATCCAACTTAATGGGCAGCGAATAAAGAATGGACGGTGCGAACTGCCTATCGGTATATTCAAACTAAAAGAATTGTAATTCAGTTGTGCTATGCCATCATAATTATTAAGCTAATCCGCGTCCATATACCGTATCTACTTGATCAAATCCAAAAGCGCCTCCTGCTATGCCGATTAGTCGCTAGGCATTGTCGTGTAATTCGTGTATGGTCACCATTATCGATGCCTAATTTGGTAATGTTTTGCTCAAATATAAATTCAGAAACAAAAGTGACAGGGCAACAACCCATGGGTCATCTAACAATTGGTTTTAATACCGGCCTGGTGACTGTGTTGGGCTTTACTATGTGCGCAGAAAAAATTGCGCCTGTCACCTTCTGTATACGTTCAAGCAGCGATCAAAGCTTCAAACACATGAATGTAATGTAGATATCTATTCCATTGGTGGTCCTCATTGAAAATAGGATATAAGCATGTTATTCAAATGACCCTCATTTTATTTTTCTATTAACTCTATTACGCGCAGATGTCAAAGCCGCGTTTCACCCTCTTAAGGTTTCACCTAGACACTGAGTGCAACTTTTCACTATGGCACTTAAATTTTTACCAAAAATGTATGAAACATAATGTCTATTTCATTGACATAAGTACCAACTATCATCCGCAGTGAAGGTATGGAACGCAAAATGTCAGTATTTTATAAGGTCAAAGATCATTTGTAGGTTTAATGTATCGTGAAGTCATATTCAATTCAAAGTGGATATTTTAATCATTCATTCATTTTTTAGACGTTTTATTTATACTATCTTTTGACGTTTATTTTTTTATACTGTATAAAGAGGATGTAAACTATTAGATAAAGAATAGAAAATGAAATAAATACATGCATATTTATAATGTAATCGCATCAAATAAAGAACTAAGTTCTTGTTTTTGAGATCATCGCAAACCAGGGATGTTACGGAGTTTAGACTCCGATTCCGTTAAGTCGGACCTTCCGATTCTTTACACCTTCGGTTCCGAAACTTTTAAATCGGAGGTTTTAATCGGAGGTCGAAGCATAGCAAATAGCGACGGCGGCCTGCGTCGACCGTTACGAACTGGTTCATATCCGTCGCGTTGGAAGTCTGTGATAATAATAAGTAAATTTAAATGAAAAAAGTTTATATTATTTATGAAAATGTAAAAAGGTTGACTGAATTATGTTTTAAATTTTTCTTAAATGCAAAAATATCTCTCTTTTGACCACTTCCGACTCTGCCTCTGACCCCGACTCAGCCTCCGACTCCGGTTCCGACTCCGATAAATCAATTTTAAAAATCCGACTTCGGTTCCGATAATTTTACCTCCGTTACATCCCTGTCGCGAACATATAATATGCAAACAAACGCGGAGCTCATGACTTTGTCTTAGGTATAATACCTTTGTAAAGATTTAACCTCTGTTCTACTATATGGCGCTTTACTACGGTTTTGGAAGTACATATTTATAATTTTACCTTAATCATAAGTAATTGTGTATTATAAGAAATTCTGAGTATTGGATGATGTGTTGATGTGCTTATTAAATCAATGTTACGTAGCCACTAAAGATGATTCATGTAGAGATGATGTGAGTCAGCGGTAGTGGTATTTACTCACCCGGTTTTTAGCGTACCATTACTATAAGTAAAAATACCTTTATTAGTATATTATTCGCTCCACAATCAGACTATCATAGCTGGGCTTTTTAACGAAACCGATGATGAATGAAGCATTACGTATAATATTTCGTTCGTGATCCTGATCTCACAATCGTAAATCATTTAAAACTGTTTATTGGCTATTACAGGGCGCTGCCCTTTATGCTAGAGGGTCAAATAGAGCAATTAGATTACAACCAACGCAACGCTTCAGTCAATTGACTGACGAGATCTCTTAATACCTTAATACTTCGTAAATTAAGTTACTGCTATCGAATATCTCAATAATAATGTAAAAATACGTATTATGGACTAAAACTTTTAAATGTTTTTGGAATGACGAATTTGATTGAAAACCTTTGTTGTTTTAATAAATTAAATGACATTGTTCAGCGTCCATACATAGTTAGCCTAAGAACCAACAATCATGATATATTATTTTCTAATTTCAAAATCGTAAGTAAATGACTGTTAAAAGAAAGATTATTGACGGACACTTCTGAGAGCTTAAATTATTAGGAATATTAAAAATTTTTTGAGGTTATGTTTAATATTCAATGAAACATAGGTCAACCTATGAATTTAGTATGAAGTGAATTAATATTACAACTAATTCATTTTATCAGGTGCGATTTTAAAGAATAACTATTAGGAAAAACTTGGTAAGGTAGGAATCATGAATAAAATAAAAACTGTAGTTTTGCTTCTTATTTATTGACTATTTTTCACATAATTGTATCTTATTGTATATATTTGTATATCACATGTATATTGTGTAAATATGCAGCGTGAATGTGTATCAGGTGTTCTTGAATAATTCGGCAGTATAATCCTCTCAGGATGTTGTGGCACAGGTTCACTAGCACTTGGTAATAAGGGTTCTGCTCTTTGGTAACATCGATGGCATATTAGATAGCCGAAATAGTTGAATTAAAGGAAAAACAAGCGCAAATAAACACACACACAACAGGTACTTAATCCGAAACGAGAATGCACTTTCCAGTATATTAGACTACTCTTTGGAATGCACGAATGTCACAGATTACTACGAATGCAAACTGCCTGCACCACAACCACAGAGTAACGAGTTTTATGCCGGCCCTTCACTTAACATCAGTTTTTCCTTGTCATGCTTAATAAGGAATAAAAAGGACAGACTGATGTCATGTTTTAAAATAGCAAATACGAATAGCCAAGTGAAGTGCCGGGATTAGGAAGAAAGAGTGTTTTGTTTGCAGCGCTGCCATAGATTATACACATAAAATGGTATTTATTGTCTCAGATTATTTTTAACTTTTTAATTTAGCTTACTTAACTGGAAGTGTCCGTCACAATCTAAATACTGAAAATTATCGCAAAAAATATACTAGGAATTATCATAAATGCCAAATTGGTGTTGGTTCTTAGGCCAATTTTAACATTGTCCTTTATTTACCAAGCCGACATAGTTAGATGTTTCATGAAACAAAAAAGATAGACAAACGTAATGTATTGGCGGCACCGGGCTTATTAGGCATATCATGATCTCTGATCTCAGTAATCATTGCGGTTACATGCTAAAGTTCCTTATTTACCTAATAAAACTATAATTTTTATATGATTCATGCCGTTTGACTTTTGACCAAGGAACCTGAAAAGTGGCCAAATGACATGGCCACTTTCTAATAATACCTTTACAAGTACTTTAATAAATAGATAGCTACTTTTTTATTCACGTGTATAAGGTAACAGTAGGTATTCGAAAAAAAATAACTGTATAGTTTGAAAATCAATAAAGCATTCAATACAGATAACAAACAAAAGAACCCTTAATTAAAGCCCGGTAATGTCACTAGCTTTATATTTGGCAGTAAGATTACCTTTAACAGGAGATTTTAATGATAACGTTGATTCTATTCAAATGTGTTTCGAATTAATTAATGTTTCTAAATATTTGATAATATTTTATATTGTGTGTTACCATGTTTTTCATATACATATACATACATTGTTCACGTTGTTCTGAGAATTTAATTTTAATATCTGCAGTGACAATAGCAATGTTCTCTTGCAGCAAGTACCTATGTGTTTGTTTTATGCCATTGTGATTAGGATTGACTGTTACTAACATGATAATTATTGTGTTAGTTGTTGCTCAAAACTACGATACGGATGTGAACAAGGAGTATGTGATTATGGGAAACAGCATCATTTTAAAGTGTCAAGTCCCGTCTTTCGTCGCCGACTTCATAGAAGTTGTATCTTGGCATACTGATGAGAATGAGGATTTCTTCCCGGGTGATAACTATGGTTAATCCTTTGAGTGATTATTCTGTAGCTTAAATCCTGTCCCTATTGCCATGTGTAAACGACAGTGCAGTCAGTACTGTCGATCATTCAGTAAACATCCTTACTTCACAGTTGTGGAACAACAATATGAATCAGAAGTAAATAACGAATACGTGATTCGCGGAAACTCTGCTATCCTTAAATGTTCTATTCCATCCTTTGTGGCGGATTTCGTGACGGTTGTTTCTTGGCAGGACGAAGCTGGCAATTCTTTTACTATTAATGGATCTAAGGAAGGGGATGGTATACATAGAAAAATATTATTAATTCCCTTTCCTAACCTTATAAAGTTATAATTCCAATAACTAAACGTCCTTTCGTACCTATTGCAGTTGTGACTCAATATTATGAAGCTGAAGTCGTATCTGAATATGTAATAAGAGGAAATGCTGCGGTCTTAAAATGTAACATACCATCTTTTGTCGCTGATTTCGTTAAAGTGCAAGCCTGGGTTGATTCTGATGGAGGCGAATACTTACTTACAAATGATATTGGTATTCATTTTCAGTAAAAAAAAATACTTTTCCCAACCAAAAACCAGCCAGAAACTTCCCCATCCTTAAAATTAATAAATGTATCTATCTAGACAATACCTGTTTCAGTTGTCAATCAGTTTTACGAAGCTGAAATTCTGAACGAGTATGTTATTCGTGGCAACGCTGCTGTGTTAAAATGTTCTATTCCATCATTCGTCTCTGATTTCGTAAAAGTGGAAGAGTGGATAGACGAAGAAGGAACAGTGATTAGCCAATCCGAAAGCCTCGGTAACAATGGCCTCACTAGACAATGAGCCTGTCCATGTCCACTTCCCGTATTTACTACTTAGTGCTGCATGTTCTTACACCTCAAACTGTCATTCCCTTCTAAGTACCTCTTTAATATTCCTCAGTCGTATCGCAGTATTACGTGACCGAAGCCGAAAACGAGTATGTTATTAGAGGGAACGCTGCTATTGTTCGATGCAAGATTCCATCTTTTGTTAGCGACTTTGTAAACGTGGAATCCTGGTTAATGGACGATGGGCAAATACTTACGATAAATAACACGAATGCTGCAGAGGGTATATTGTCTTAAAAATCATTATTGGTTTGAATTGTTCCTTATCCATGGTTCCTTACTCCTATAATGGTTATCGCTATCGTAATTTACTGAATTATTAATTTTAATATGTGTAGTGGTATCACAATCGTATGAAGCAGAAGCCGATAATGAATATGTTATTCGGGGTAATGCTGCTATTATGAAATGCGAAGTACCGAGTTTTGTCTCCGACTTTGTGTCAGTTGAAATGTGGATGGACAGCGAGGGGGGAACATATTATCCGGGAAACAACGAGGGTATTTAATCATATTTAAAACCGCACCTGGTTCCTAATATCCTTTTTACTTTCTTTCTTAGCTGTACTTCAAAGTTACGAGGCTAGAGTAAACGACGAATTCATTTTAAGAGGCAACACTGCAATACTCAAATGCATCGTACCGTCATTCGTTGCGGATTTTGTTCATGTTGTAGCCTGGATTATGGATAATGAAACAGTTTCAGCTCAAGAATATTCCAATACTGATTCCGGTAGTGGATTACCTCGTAAAAACCGAATTCGGTAGCAAAACCCTTTTTCCCTTCCTTTGACATTTTTCTTCTGAAAAGTTTCCGCAAGTCATCTGAAATAATACTCTCATTTATTGACAGTGGTGCATCAAACTTACGAGCCTCGAGTAATTGACGAAGATATTTTACGTGGGAATTCAGCAATAGTCAAATGTTTGATCCCGTCATTTGTAGCCGATTATGTGTCTGTTGTGGAATGGGTGACAGAGGAAGATTCCCTATCTGTATTTTTGTTGAATCGCTCCGAGAGCAATTACGGTAATCGAGAGCGCCCGTGCGACCTCAATTGTTCCTATCCGCTCTTAGCCACATCCCCGTACCCAACGTAGTGTTTGTTATTTCAATGTCACACACAATATTTCAGCCGTTAACCAGTTCTACGAATCGCAAGTGTACGACATTTACGTCATAAGAGGCAACGCTGCAGTGTTCAAGTGTCACATTCCTTCGTTTGTATCTGAGCACGTTCATGTACTTTCATGGCACGATACTGAGGGCGGAGAATTTTCGCTAAATGATAATAATGGTATAGGCCAGTTTCTTATGTTAAGAAATCAATCCTCTCTTTCCCATCCCAAGCACATAAAACTAGATGTATTCATATTTCAACGTATAATATTTCAGTGGTATCTCAGGCATATACCGTAAACTTAGTCGAAGAAAATGTTTTGAGAGGTAATGCAGCGATTCTGAAATGTCTTATTCCAAGTTTTGTCACCGAGTACGTTTCGGTTGCTTCGTGGATAATTTCTGAAGACGACAAAGAAGATGAAATTAAGTTGAAAGATATTAAAGATCAGTGGGGTAAAATTAATTAATTTCATCTCAATCTGTTTTTTATCCTAGATCCAATCCACAACTTAATATAGGAAAGAAAATTCAAACACCTCGTTTGTTATGTTTTTCGCAGTCGTCACACAGGCTTATACAGTCAATCTAATGGAAGAAAGTGTGCTGCGAGGGAATGCTGCTATATTAAAGTGTCATATATCCACTTTTGTTACGGAATATGTTACCGTTGCATCTTGGATCGTATCTGAGGGCGATACCGAGGAATTAGAAATAAAAGCAGTATCAAATGATTTGGGTACAGAAATATATCTTGGATTACTCAGATCCCTTTCCTTCCTCTCTTTTGCATTTTGATAGTTTATCAAATGTTAGTAACAATATTATTTTACAGTGGTATCTCAGGCTTATACTGTTAATTTGATGGAAGAGAATGTCCTTCGTGGGAATTCAGCGATAGTCAAATGTCATATTCCGAGTTTCGTCTCGGAATACGTAACTGTGTCGTCTTGGTTAATTTCCGAAGGAGATATTGATGAAATGGAGATAAAATCTAACGAAACTCTAAATTTAGGTACACAAAAGAAAACATAGTTGAGCCTCCAATTCCCATTCCTTAAAATAACAATAGTGTAAATTCGACTTTTATGGGTCACTTAAAAATGCGAAGACAAAGAATTTTCGAATGGTCATAATAAGAAAGTTTTTTTTTCTGTGGATAGGATTTAGGATATCTTTGGTTTTCAGTGGTATCTCAATCGTATACCGTCAATCTGTGGGAAGAAAATGTGTTAAGGGGAAACGCTGCTATATTAAAATGCCATATTCCAAGTTTTGTCACCGAATTTGTCTCCATTACATCTTGGATAATTTCTGAAGGAGACACTGATGAATTGGAAATAAATTTAGATTCAGATTTGAATTTAGGTAAAATTTCCGACCTTCTTATTTGTCACCTTGTTTGTCCTTCCTGTACTGGTACATCCCGAAAATACTCTCCTTCGTTGGCCCTATAAGGCAGATTAATGCATAACGAAAGTTTGTAAATATTTTTTATATTCCTTTCAGTCGTGTCCCAAGCATACGATGTAAAATTTTGGGAAGAATATGTTTTACGTGGTAACGCCGCAATCTTAAAATGTCAAATTCCCAGTTTTGTTGCTGAGTATGTATCTGTTAACTCCTGGATAATTTCTGAAGATGAAAATGAGAAAGAAATAAAAATAACTGAAACTTCAGATATAGGTACTTTGTGGTAGTATCGATTTCTTCAAGTATAATTCCATCCAATCTGATCCTGTAATTCCTACACATCCTTTTATCGCTGAGTATCGTAACAAATACTGATTCTATTTTTGTAAGGATTTGGTGTTCTTCAAAAGCTTTCTCAACTGAGTAAAAAAGAAGCTTTGCTATGCTTACTTGAAGTCGTGTTGTTTCAGTGGTTTCGCAATCTTATGCAGTCAATCTAATGGAGGAATATGTTTTAAGAGGGAATGCAGCCATCCTAAAATGTCACATACCAAGCTTTGTTTCCGAGTATGTTACTGTCATTTCATGGATCATCAGTGAAGATAAGGATGAAATTGAAATTAAAATTGAATCATCAAATAATTCCGACGGTACATGCTGTTATTTTTTATTTGTCTTATAAGGTTCTTTTAAGCCGTGCTGGTATTACTCCAATACTGAATCATTAAACTTCGTCGTGTAGGGCTGTGATCCTACAATTGGGTTTCCGTGAATCCATGGACCTAACGGTCTACCTTAATCCCATTTCCTACTTCCTTGCATGCCATGAAATTTGTAAGTAAATTGCAACCATATGTTGCACTGCTGCTGCTTTCATATCTAAAGAAAAAAAATTGCTTAAAAGATTTTACATATATATTTTTAAATTATGCATATCTTCATGATTTTGTTTCTGTATACAGACGGAAAATACTTAGTACTACCATCAGGAGAATTGCACATTAGAGATGTTGGACCAGAAGACGGTTATAAATCATACCAATGCAGAACAAAACATAGACTTACTGGTGAAACTCGATTATCTGCCACCAAAGGACGTCTAGTCATCACTGGTAAGTTTACATTAGCATAGAAATAAATGCAACGCGTAAATTCAATAACATTGACCAAATAAATTCAAGTATATAACGGTGTTCAATGAATTTAAGCGTTGCACTAACATCCCATACTCAATGTCCAAATAACTTCAAAGTAATTGTGGAAGAATCTAGTCTTAAATTTTTCATATACATCTGTTTTATTTGAACCGTGAACTATAGCTGTAACAACAGTTTCGCTAACGAAACGCATTTGATTATGGGATATTCTATATTCAATTAACTTTGATTCATTAAGCAGGATTTTATATAATTTTAATATATTCATGTAAAAAGTAACTCTTGATTATTAAAAAATCATTATAATTTTAAAACAATGTATAATATCCTGCATTGACTATTGTCAATATAATTTTAATCTTACGATTCATATTTCAATAATATAAGAATTGCACACTATAATAAGTATATAAAAAATATATATTAACTTGATGTAACACTTTGTGAAAGATTAAGATTATCATTTGACAACAGTTTGTGAATAAAAAATATTTTAATTTGTCATTGATTTTATTGAATATTAACAACTTGCCTGAATGTTGGGATAGGGTACCCTGAAGCCTTGACTCGCGTTATTGCAGTAAACTTTACGCGCTTACTATAAGTTCATATCATAGAGAATAGTAGGGGTTTGTAATACTAAGTGGTTTATTATGGTGTCCAACCCTCGTGATCCCGCCTTCTCCCAACATGCGCAGAGCCGGTGGGTCGGGTACCTCCCAAGTTCCCTAGCGCACAGACAACCAGCGGATTCCAGTTTAAAGTGGATACGAGCCTTGCAGTATTGTGTTCTGCACAGGCCTTTCCTGCACCCTCTCACCGGTAAGGCAACATTACAATTAACATCGGTTTACATAATTCCTCAGAGCCAATAGGGCGCGTCCCACCTAAACTGTCTACAACACAAGTTGGCATGATGTTTGAAACCGTATCGGAAGCGTCATTTGCTTTACAATGCCCAGCTCAAGCGTTCCCTGTCCCCGTGTTCAGGTAATGTGAAAATATTGCCTTCTACATAACAACTAAGAATTAAAACTTTTTAGAACCCGTTGGGCGAGTACCTCCCAAATTTGCGACCGTACTGACAGGAACGATGTTCGAGGTTATTGAACATGATTCCTATGCATTGCAGTGTCCCGCCCAAGCATTCCCAACACCACTTTTCAGGTAAAGTTGTATACCTAACGAGACCTTTTGTCGCTTTGTAGAACCAGTAGGGCGGGTGTCACCTCGATTCGCATCTATTATTATGGGAACAATGGTTGGCATCAAGAAAAATGATTCAATTGCATTACAATGCCCTGCACAGGCGTTTCCAGTCCCAATTTTCAGGTACTCAGTCCTTTTCATATAATAATCTTTAAATTTGTGCTTTTGCTACAGAACCCATGGGAAAAGTTACTCCAAAATTTCCAAGTTTAGAGAAAAGTCGTTTATTTGATTTTAATGCCTACCAAAATATAGCTATTTTGTGCCCTGCCCAGGCGTTTCCCGCCCCAATGTTTAGGTAAGGTGTTCTCACAAAATAATATATTTTTCCCTTAATAAGTGAAACTCTTATTATCTAGAGCCAATGGGAAGGGTATCACCGAAGTTTCCCACTGGAGATATCAGTAGAACTTTCATTGCGAGTTCGGGTGATGGAGTTCCGATATTATGTCCTGCACAAGGGTTCCCTGCCCCAGCGTTTAGGTAATTTAAAATAGATATTTTTCATAAACAGAACCCATGGGCAAGGTTTCTCCAAAATTTCCATCGATGGAAACAGGACGCAGCTTTACTTTCACATCCAATTCATGTGTGACAATCTTATGTCCAGCGCAAGCATATCCCACACCATCCTTCAGGTACTTTTACTTATAAACATACATCTTGTATCCTTAGAGCCTGTGGGTCGAGTTTCACCAAAGTTTCCTTCAATGGATAGCTCGAGAAGTTTCAGCGCTAACCTGAATACAAGTCTCACAATATTATGTCCGGCGCAGGCATATCCAGTCCCAGTATTCAGGTAAATTAAATGAAGCACTGACCTCATACAAATAATGATTTTCTATAGAGCCTGTTGGTCGTGTTTCACCTAAGTTTACGAGTGGTGACAAAAGTCGAGCTTTCGATGCCCATGGCGGTGACAGTATCCCGCTTTTATGTCCTGCTCAAGGCTTCCCCGCCCCACTATTCAGGTACCATTCATAATTACACAAAAGTTAGAAAACTTATTCATTTCTAGAACCCATGGGTAGTGCTGCTCCAAAAGTAGCAACAAAAGTGATTGATATTACAGAAGTATTACTAAATCGCACAATAACGGTACTGTGCCCAGCCCAAGCATACCCTGTTCCAAAATTCAGGTAATAACAACTCACGATTATTTCCAAATAAAATTGTTCATCTTCAGAACCAATAGGAAGAGTCTCACCAAAATTTCCCACCATGGACAGTGTCCGGGGGTTCAGTGCACATGTTAATGATAGCGTAACACTGCTGTGTCCTGCCTAAGCTTTTCCTGTCCCGCTATCCAGGTAATAAATAGTTACATCAAATTTTTAGAGCCAATTAACAGTGCACCGCCAAAAGTTCCAACTAAGACGATAGAGTTCGTGGATTTTATGTCGCACTCCAGTGTCACATTGTTGTGTTTGGCACAGGCGTTTCCCGTTCCAGTATTTAGGTGAGTCAAGTCACAAGTGACTTAATATATTAAAAAATAAATGTTTGTTTTAGAACCGATTAGTATGAAAGCCCCTACATTCTCTACAGATTTTAAGATGGCTTGGTATATAAAAGATGTCATGCAGGGTTTTGCATTGCTTTGTCCAGCTCAGGGATTTCCCGCCCCATAGTTCAGGTATTATCAATTCTTGTCTTACAATTTTAGAACCAATTGGAACTAAAAGTCCTTCTTTTTCAACTGGCTCGAAACTGGCTTGGTTTGAAATAAAAACTGGCCAAGACTTTGCATTAATTTGCCCTGCGCAAGGATATCCAGTTCCTATGTTTAGGTGGGTTTACAAAAATAACATTTTGATATTTCCAGAGCCCATCGGTTCCAAATCACCTTCTTTTCCAACTGATGATAAATTAGCATGGTTTATATATAGACCTCTGGAACACAGTTTAGCATTACTTTGTCGAGCGCAGGGATATCCTGTTCCAATGTACAGGTACACAAAAAGTTTATATATGTAATTAATCTTCTTCTAGAACCTATTGGAACGAAGTCACCCTCTTTTTCTACTGATAATAAATTTTCGTGGTATGTAAGAAGTATCGGGCAAAATATTAATATCCTATGTCCAGCACAAGGCTTTCCGGTGCCAACTTTCAGGTGATTTTACTTATTTTCATTTACTTGTAGAACCTGTTGGCTCAAAATCACCTACATTTTCGAATGACGTTCAATTCTCGGGAATTACTCGTAGAACTAGTCAAGATTTTGCTCTTTTGTGCCAAGCGCAAGCTTTTCCTGTCCCAAAATTCAGGTAAGTTGAGAATAGTTGTTTAATATTAATATTTATTAATAGATTATTCGGCAAAGTTATTTAGAAACTATAACGAACGTTTAATGTTTCAATTGTTTTCTGACATATAAGTCCTACTCCTATTCGTTGTCAGAATCTTGTTTTTCAATGAAGTATTTTTGTCGCAGAACCTATTGGATCAAAGGCACCAACATTTTCTTTGGAATTTAAAAGTACCACTCTTACGAAAGCTGCTGACCAAGACATAGTTCTTTTGTGTCAAGCTCAAGCATTTCCTGTACCTATTTTCAAGTGAGTGCTTCGTTTTGAGATAACATTTTTTCGGTTCAGAACCTGTCACTGCGAAGGCACCCGCATTTCCAACCACAGCATCGTCTTACAATTATGATACACAAGCGAATTATGGAGGCTCATTGCTTTGCCAAGCACAAGGTTTCCCTCAACCTGAATTCAGGTATAACTGATCGACGTTACTATATCTAATTTTAGAACCTGTTGGGGCAAAGGCACCTTCATTTTCAACTGACTCTAAAGGCAGCATATTTGTAAGAGAAATTGGTCAGAACTTCGCATTGCTCTGTCAGGCGCAGGCCTTCCCTACTCCAATATTTAGGTAAGCTATAATATTATTTTTTTTATTTACACAGAGCCCGTTGGTTCCAAGCCGCCTACATTCTCGACAGATTTTACCCTCTCAGCAGTAACGAGACATATGGCTCAGAGCTTTGCAATGACGTGTCAAGCTCAGGCTTTTCCCATTCCTAAGTTCAGGCAAGTGTTTTTGAACACTATATTTTGATTTTCTATGTGAAACATAAATTAATCGTTCTTAGCTTACAAAGTTGGTTAAAAAATTTAAATGTCGTTAAGTATCATGAAATCAATCTCCAGCGTCTCATTTTCTTAAATTTATTTCTGGTACTTCTGCGCAGAGCCTGTTGGATCGAAGGCTCCTTCTTTTTCGACTGAATCTGCACTCTCATCTCTAAAAAGACATGAAGCCCAAAGTTTTGCACTACTTTGTCAAGCCCAAGCATTTCCTGTACCAAAATTCAGGCAAGTCCATATAGTAGTTTTATAGGCATTGTGTTGATTACAATCAAAATTTTTAGAACCAGTGGGAGCTAAATCTCCTACATTTTCTACTGAATCTATGGGTAGCATATTCAGAAAACGAATTGGGCAAAGTTTTGCTCTTCTTTGTCAAGCACAGAGCTACCCGGCTCCAATATTCAGGCAAGTGTAGATATCAAGAAATCCTTTTCATACTGTGTTTACTAAAACAGAACCAGTCGGCTTCAAAGCTCCAACTTTATCAACGGACGCTAGTAGTATATCATTTAAACGCAATATCGGGCACAGCTTTGGATTATTATGCCAAGCACAAGCCTTCCCGGTACCAGTTTTCAGGCAAGTTAATTTTTAAAATCATAAAATATATAAAACATAAAAAGAGTTTTAATTACTCTTGTTTCCAAACCTGACAAGGTAGAACCAATCGCAAGCACAACACCGAGCATCACCGCCACCCCGAAAGCTGCTTTGATGTTTCCTGCGCTCACTTCTTTAGCTGTCCTATGTCCGGTTCAAGGATTTCCTGTTCCAATGTCGAGGTGCGTTTAACATTACAGAACCAACTAACAAAATTGCCCCACGGAGTGATAAGTCCCGAAAATTTGAAGGTGGTGAAATATTTTTGGTCACTATGTCAGAATCGGTTTATCTCACGTGTGAAGTAGCTGGTTACCCTGCTCCTGTATTCAGGTGAGTGCCGTTTAGAGATCAAAATAAAACTAATCAATGCTCAGGGGCCCCGGATGTAAGTAACTTAAAGGAAACATAACTTATCTTTAGTCCTATCTCGTTAACTATCTTGTAAAACCGAAGTGTTCAGAATCGCCTTCCATTGAAGTTAAATTGCAATTGCAGAGCCGACTAATAAGATTCCACCTAGAAAAGATTCCACTAAACACTTCGAAGGTTGGGAAGTAGTCTTCGTGCCACAAAATGAAATAGCATATTTAACATGTCAAGTTTCTGCTTACCCAGTGCCCGTATTTAGGTGAGTGACAGGCATAATGTATTATGACGGTCGGCTTGTATTCCAGAACCAAATGGTAGTACTGGCCCAAAAGTGACTGGCGGTGGTTTGACTCGACAGATAGGCCGAAGTAACGAGAACCTCGCGTTACTTTGCGAAGTGCAGGCTTTTCCCGCTCCTTTAATGAGGTATGACCTTACACAACCCGGTCGGCCGCTAGCATCTCACGCATTCATACCTTACGTAGCGTACATATTAACCATACCATCCCAATTTGCTGATATGCGTTGTTATTGCAGTATGTCGCGGCGGCCGCACCGCCACTCGTGACATGAAGGCGTGATGAACCGCGGCCGGCCGCGCGCCCTTATTATGGTCCCTCGTCAAAGTAATGATTGAACAACGCAAGTACCTCCTGGTAAGTGTCAGGGTGTTCTTGCTTTCATTAAAATGCTTTACATCTTTACTTTGTGCTTCTCGTGAGTCAAGGCGGTGTACACCTTTTGGTTCATCATTTCATGGCAATAACAGTCCTGGGTATCGTGTCGCTTTTCGTTCAGTTCAATGCTAGTATTCGTATTTAGCACATTTTGAATTTTTTGGGCACTCGGGTTTTCGTTTATAACTACATACTTCCCCTCCATGTGGCAATTTAAATGTATAGTTTCGTTTTTTAAGAGCCAACGAACAGTGTCCCTCCCAAGCTTTCTGGTGGTCGTTTACAAGAATACCAATTAAATCTCAATGAAACGGGTTCCGTCCTTTGTCTAAGTCAAGGCTTTCCTGTTCCTGGTTTCAGGTAACTACACTAACTCTAGGTTTTCTGTTAGGTTCAGTAGCAACATGTAATAACAGTAAATTAGAAATCTAAACTTTTATATTTTTTACAACAAAGTTAATGGTCTATTGAGAAAATATTTTGACTTACTTTGACCTTGAATCAACACCTAAACGTTTTCTCTTTTGTTTCAGATGGTATAAATTCGTAGACGGTACTACAAGAAAACAACCAGTCACACTCAATGATAGAGTAAAGCAAGTATCTGGTACTTTGATTATCAAGGAGGCTAAAGTCGAAGACTCTGGAAAATACTTGTGCGTCGTTAACAATTCCGTTGGAGGTGCGAATAAGACCTTTTTATTTATTTCTTAATTTTTCACGCACACTACTTCCTTTTTATTTATTTATTTTACTTACATTAATTTCCCAAACTTTGTATTGTGTTTTCATGTATTAATTTTCGTTTTCAGGTGAATCTGTAGAGACTGTTTTGACGGTTACTGCTCCTTTAAAATCAACAGTAGAACCTGCTACTCAAACTGTAGACTTTGGTAGACCGGCTGTTTTTACGTGCAGATTTGAAGGAAATCCAATCAAAACTCTCACTTGGTTGAAAGACGGCAAGGATATGAATCACCATGATGCTGTATTGAGGTGACACGTGCTTTCTCTTGATTTGAATTATATAAGTATAACAAAATAAATGCAGTTTTTAAATAAAATAAAATTTCTACTTACTACAGGATCGAATCTGTAAAAAAGGAAGACAAGGGAATGTACCAATGCTTTATCCGTAATGATCAAGAGAGCGCTGGTGCTAGTGCAGAACTCAAGCTTGGAGGACGATGTAAGTTTTTAGCTTGATAGTTTCATAATTTACATTAGTTGCAATAGTAACGAGACACGGTGCATATTGTTTTAAACTTTCGGAGTAGGTACTTTGTTTTTTTTTGATGTGTACCATCTTTCCTCTCGCTTTCCTGCAATTTGTGGGAGTGATTTCGTGAAATGGGACGGAAGTGTGTAACAGGAAGCCGCGAAGCGCGCGCTGTTTGATTTGATTTTAGAAAATAATGTTCAAATGACTTATTACTTTTGTAGTAGGTTTTAATTCTTTTTTTACTAATAAAAGGTGAGCTTTCAAATATTACACATCATACGCTTTGTAAGGCTCGCTCGTTTTTTATATAAAAGGGTAGCATAGATGTTTATGGCCCGCCTGATTGTAAGCGGCCACCACAGCCTATAGACACTTGCGATACAAAAATATCAATTGCGCCGCTGTCTATTCAGATCTAACTACTTCTCTTATGTTATGTTAAGGAGGAACTCAGAACTCCACAAAATTACGAAGTAAGTGAGGTACATGGTAGTAATCCAGCTAATTACTAAAGAATTACGGGACATGTTTTAAGGTTCCGTTGCCAAATGGCAAAAAACGGAACCATATGGATTCGTCATGTCTGTCTGTCTGTCCGTTCGTATGTCACAGGCACTTTTTTCCGAAACTGTAAGAACTATAATGTTGAAACTTGGTAAGTAGATGTATTTTGTGAACCGCCTTAAGATTTTCACACAAAAATAGAAAAAAAAACAATACATTTTGAGAGTTCCCCATACTTAGAACTGAAACTCAAAAATAATTTTTCATCAAACCCATACGTGTGGGTTATTTATGGATTAATCTTCAAAAATGATATTGAGGATTCCAATATCATATCATCATTCCAATTCCAATCCATATTTCTAAATTGAATAGTTTATCATGCAAACTTTCACCGAAAATTGGTTTGAACAAGATCTAGTAAGTAGTTTTTTTAATAAGTCATAAATCGTAAACAGCAATTTACCTCTCATTCAATCAACTCAAATGTAACAAAAAAACATCAATAACTTAATTTAAAAAAAAACGCTATTATTAAAACATCGATCAAAGTTACAACGAACTACAAGAACTTTTATATTATGTTACTTGCTGCTACGGAATCCTTCATGGGCAAGTCCGAGTCGCACTTGGCCGCTTTTTTATTTAGTTCTAGTTCATAAATTAGTCACAAATGAGTTATTTCATACATTCACGCTGACTAGCCTAGTCCCAATGTAAGCACTGTCAGGCTTGTGTTATAGGATACTAGGGTAACGGATAGAAATGCATTTACTGATACATAGATAAGTTTATTTTTAGTAGAAAAATATATATAAACAGCCATGACTTAGGTACAAATGCTCGTATTCATCAAACAAACACTTACCTTACCGCAACCTTAACCCAGGACAACAGAGTAGGCGATACCTTAAAAACTCGTACAGACCACTCTACCACAAAGTTTTAAACATACAACACAACAGTTTGAAAAAAAATACTTCTCTTAAACTTTTTCCAGTTGAACCACCACTGATTCGCCACAGCTTTGGGGAGCAAACACTCCGTTCCGGTCCATCTCTGCGTCTCAAATGTGTCGCATCAGGCAACCCCACGCCCGATATCGCCTGGCTATTGGACGGCGAGAAGCTCAGCAGCGGCGAGCGACTCCAGATCGGACAGTTCGTCACAGCTGATGGGAACGTCGAATCACACTTGAACATTTCTTCGGTGCACACCAATGACGGCGGATTGTACTCTTGCATCGCTTCTAGCAAGGTATTGTAGACCAACTTACATTAGTGTTAAAATTAGAATAGTTCGTCACCGCCGACAGCAAAGTCGAGTCAAATCTGCACATCTCTTTGGTGCACGCCAATGACGGCGGATTGTACTCCTGTGTCATTGGTGTGCATCGAATTATTTGCAATTCGTGTTCTAATTTTAGGTCACATCGCGGACGAAGGTAACAATGAAAACAAGATACTGATGTCGAACATTTACCAAAATTCATCAAATTTATTTACACTGAGATAAAATTGACAGATGAGAATCACTTTCGTATTTTTATTTGGTATTATGGATCTAAACGATAATTTCTGCAAAGGTGGACTAGAAAAGAATAACATTGTAGTAAGGGCTGCCCTATTGCTTTGTCTCTGTAACTCTTATTTATACCGGTTTTACTTGACTGTTTGTTAGGGAAAGCGCAGTCCGTTCTCTATATCTGTAATGCAAAACAAACCTGTATTGATTAGTTCATTCAATTATTTTCAGGTCGGCAGCGCATCTCACTCGGCCCGCGTCAACGTATACGGTCTACCGTACATCCGCCCCATGAAGAAACGTCCCGTGGTCGCCGGAGATACCCTTATCGCCCACTGCCCCGTGGCCGGATACCCCATCGACTCTATCGTATGGGAACGAGATGGAAGGTCAGTATTTTTGTATGACTAAAGGTGCCCTGCGGTTTCACCTGCATAATTTGGGAAAAAGTAGAGATTAGCGCGTATAAACAAAGGTACTCTTCAGCTTTAAAATATTAATAAGTAAAGATACCTCATCGACTCCATCGTGTGGGAACGAGATGGAGGGTCAGTATTTTTGTACGACTAAAGGTGCCCACCTTTCACCTGCATAATTTGGGAAATAGTTTATAGTAGACATTAGCGCGTATGAACTAAACAAACTCTTCAGCTTTAAAATATTATACCCCATCGACTCCATCGTGTGGGAACGAGACAGGCAGTCAGTATTTATATATTAAATAGTATACACCAATCACGACACATAATATAAACAAACCCGGCCCATGATGAAAAAGCCCGTAATCGTCGGACCCTTATCGCCTCCTGCCTGGCAACCAGATTCCCCATCGACTGTTTCAAAGAAATGAAATGAAATATTTTTATTTGAAAAAGACAGTGAATACAATAAATGTGCACGATAATAATTGCATCAGTTATAAAAACTGTGTCGCAACTATTAACGCCCACCTCTGAGAGTACATTGCAGTTCCATAAGATACAAAAAACAAACAATATATGTATATTATTTAAGTAAATTTTTTTTTAACTTGGAAAATATGTAATAAAATCATTTAATGTATACAGGAACAATGAACCTTAAACTAAAAACCTTAAAAAATATAATACAATAACTAAAATATATTACTAAAAGGAGTCCCTTTAGGTAAGGTTCCGAACATACTGGCAGCGTTCCCCCTTTGAATAGCTAGACTAATTCTTTGTCCGAGGTAGCTGCCAGCTCTTCGGTCTCCAGTGATGTCGACTAACCTTTTTGATATTTCCTTAAAAAACCTCATAGCGCCAGGACCCCACGGACCACGGGTCTCGACACCGAATGGGACAAAATCATATTCGGAGCCTAGACCCCTGTATTTACATGCTTTTGCTTTTTCAGCCGCTTCACAAGCCGCACCAGCTCTGTTGTTGGTTCCATGTAGATGGAAAGTGGCCAGCGTGTCTGAACAGGTTGCATCCCATACCAGTACCCGGCCCATCTTCCATGGAATCAAACTCATACCGTCCGGTCTCTTGCAATACCAGTCGGCTCAAGTAGACTTGGCACGTTGACGGTGGCAAGGGACCGGCGTATGATATCGTTAAGTGCGGCATGTCTCGAGAAGCGGCCTGCACTTTTTTGGCATGACAGTCCGTGATGTCCTAGCTTGTCGACATCACTGCCACAGGGACATTTATGAGGAGCGCAGACCGGAACCCCAAGCCGTAGACAGGCTGCGATTCGGAGCGTGTCAGGCTCAAGAAATGTTCCTGTATTTGATGAAGGGTACGCGTGAAGCCAGTAGCCGGCCTCATGCTCACCCACGGCCAAAAGCCTAGCACGCGCCGAACCTGTACTACAGCTCAAAAGATTTTCAAAAGTTAATTTACAGTTTATGTCGTCCGAGCTCCTCTGTGAATTTGGAGAAACTGGAAAATTTTGACCTGGGCATGCAATTAAAAAATCGTTTCTAGCTTCTTCCAAGGCAGCAATCTCAAAGTTTGAAGGGGATGCCCTTAAAATTTTACTTATGAGATTTGCTGAACTATGGACAGAAGATAGAAAGGCTGGTAAAGCGCCACTGGAAATTTTGCGAATCCCTAAACCACCATACCGGATGGGTAAGGATGCTTGGGTCCAAGATTGCTCGTTCAGCTGCATATTAAGAATCGATTCTAAGCTAATTTTGATTAAGTTGTCTACTTGTGTCAAAAGATCTGGGTGATTCCAAAAGGAGCAGCAACGGAGCACATACGTATATTTTGGGACGAAAAGACAGAATTTTAAGATGCAAAGTGCATAATGTGGACTAATTTTAAGGAGACGGTCAACAGAATTTTGAAATTTAATAATTGAATTATTAATATATTCAGAAATAGATTCATCAAAAATTGGAGAACCTACGTAAAGGGAATTACTGTTAAATATTTTAATAAATAGTTAAAGCTGCTGGAATAGCTGTCCCGTCAAAATTTTTGATCATGCTCTTTTCCTATAAAATCTTCTCGGTTCAGGTTTCAGACGGGCTTCGAATCAGCATATTCCGCTATCCGGGCAGACGCACTTACCAATTATGCTATTGAGAGCTTAATAGTCGTGTCGAATTTCCTCCAGTATTTCTTATGCCACAATACAGCGCCATGCGGTGGCAGCTGAAGATGCAGATTCGACTCCCTTCTGAAACCTGGACCGAGGCATGATATAGAGTAGTTAAAGAATACGTATAGAATACAAACTCCACTATTCCGTTCACGATATCTAGAAATAATCATAATAATAATATGATAATGTTACAAGCGGGTTCGTTGTACGTCGCGTACGTTAACTTTGAAAACTAACTAGGTATGTAAAACAACTTAAATCCTAAGTCCTTACAAATAAATAAAATTAAAATAAAAGTTGATGTCGTTGGCACCCGCCAATCCGCACTGGGCCCGCGTGGTTGGTCAGGGTCCAATCTCCCTATTCCATCCATAGGGAATGCCTGTGCCCCAGTATGAAATCAAATAGAACTGTTTGTTTTCAGAGTACTGCCAATCAACCGTAAACAGAAAGTTTTCCCCAACGGTACCCTTGTGATCGAGAATGTGGAGCGTATGAGCGATCAAGCCACATACACTTGCGTCGCCAAGAACTCTCAAGGGTACAGCGTTAGAGGAAATCTCGAACTCCAGGTCATGGGTAAGTCGTTTCTTTTTCTTAACGACTACAAGTTCATGAGAAATCATCTTAAAGAAATTAATCAAGCAGTTTCTTAATTGAAAATGTAAAAAAAATATCTGTATAAATATCTGTTACTGGATTATCACAAATAATATTACAGAAAACTTTCTTAATGTTAACTGCTAAGGCTAAGATATTATTAAAAAAGAAATTAATGAATGTCATCAATTAATTTGTAATAAAATCTTAGCCATCAAAAAAATAAAAAACAATAAAATTTAAAGACACATTCATTCAAGATTGCAATACAGTCAACTAAGTAAAAACTATAAGTCGGTCAGTAAGGCCATATTACCGTGGTAAGGCATTTCTATAAAGTATACTTGAAAGTATTGCAATCAAAGTCCAATCAGAAGTTGAAATACAACAATATTAAATACCCTAGATACAACAACAAGAACAAAATCGAGCCATAACCTGTATATTGGACGATCCACGGAGCTCTGTAAGATGATCGCGTAGTCAACAAAACAAAGTAAGGCATTTTTTAAACATTGAAGGTCACCCCTAATGTGTGCTGCATAAGGTCTTAAATAAAAACGTATGCGTCAAAGAGTTATAACAGTTCGAAATGCATGCTCGTAAAATTTTACAATTTATTACTATATGCGTAAGAATATAGACCTTATTTCTTTGATTCTACGCGCAATTCTGAATGCGGTTACCGATATGGACCGTGAGGAAAAGCTATGTTACCGACTATGCATTTGAATATCACAAATATTATCTATTAAATCAGTTTATAGTAAGTATTTAAAACAAAATTTGCTTTAAATGCGTTAAATTAACAAACATAGATTATAGGTACCTGTCGAAAATACGACACTTTACGTAGGTACCTACTATAAGTATTTTTTTCACCTTTTCTCGGAGCTCTGCACAATCTTGACTTCAATGATCCGCGCGTGACTGTGAACCAAGAAGTGCTCGAGTGGTGTTAAAGCACTTCTTGATTGGGCCACATTTTGAGCGCACGTGGTGTATCTAGGGTATTTAATGCCGTTATTAAAATATGTTTATATAGAGAAGAGGAAAGTATTGCTTTCTTATTAGAACTTCATAGACTTAAAAAGAACCTGATGTCTTTCTTTGGTTGGTCTTAGTACTACAAATTATTTAACAAAGTTCTGATACATTTCGATGGGATTCTTATAACGTAAGTAACAATTTTATTCAACAACAATTTTGAACTGGAAAGTACAGAATACGTAAGTTGCGTGCAAATAATAAAAGTTTTCCATATGGCTTGAAATATTCAGAAAGTATCGCTGCTAAAAAGGTTGAAATAGGTACTTACTATTTTTTAAGGTACAGCATCTAAACCAACCAATACCAAAAGTGGCTATTATAACATTATATTTATTTAAAAGTGAAATTAAATAACCTTGAAAACGAATCATTATTTGCCCGAATTGCGAAGGGTGCGGGATCGAGTCCCGTCTGCTGCCTGGTCCGCGTGGAATTTTTACTAGTTATATTTTCTTTAGATTTAAACATCAAGCAGTTACATGCTTTAAAATAACAAAAATTATCTCTTATCTATTAGACAAGTCCGTCCGTCCGTCCGTCCGTGGTGCTGTTTCAGCGGCCAAACCGTAAGAGATAGATAAAGAGAATGTTTAAGTTATAAGTTGAGAATAGTCATAAGACTACAAACCGGATGTGAGTAACGTAGCACTTCCGGTTTTCGAGAAATCACGTGATTTCTATTTCAAACGAAACCACACAAAATCTCCGAAGTTAAATAAATAAGTGTTTTTTTTTTTTTTGGTGTACATTTGGTTCACGGTTTGCTAGTAACGAATAATTAGATATTATTGTCAGCCATTAATAGGTCTAGATATATGTCTAGATACTGAATTTACGTAGGTTATTTCAAAAAACTCTTTGATGAATCATAATATTTTTTACAAAACTTTGCCTATATGTATACAATATTTCGAAAGCATATACTTTTTATTGAGTTTTGTTAAAATAGAATAGCAAAAGATATTTTATACTAAAATTATACATTATAATACTTTTTCCAAAGTTATAATAGAAACTCAATGCCTCTTTTCAGAAATATGTTGTGAAAGTACGTGGGAATTTAGTATAAAATCAAATGTCACGTATATAAAACACGTAAAAACACATATTTAAAATATCATAAATATCAGACTACGTAACCTACTTGCGATCACAACATCATTTAAAATTTGTCTAATAATATTTTATTTCAGGACTGTTTTAATTCCCATATAGGTAAACATTAATGCACAAATTGTATTTAGGATAATATAGCCAGACATTTATGCCCGCCAAAGCTACATCGTTTGCCACACACGCCCCTTTAAGTTAGAATTTAGCTTATGAGTTGTCTTCGCACAGTGCCCCCCCAAATTTTGCCCTTTGAATTCGGCGAGGAACCGGCAAATGCCGGAGACATGGCTTCAGTTACATGCGCTGTGAACAAAGGCGACCAGCCTTTAAACATCACGTGGACCCACGACGGACAATTACTACGAAGAAATAATGATATGGGAATCGTGTTGACAAGCATTAACAAAAAAACTTCTATACTCAATATCGATTCCGTTAACGGAATACACAGGGGTGTATATCATTGTGTGGCGACGAATCCGGCCGGCTCCTCCAACCATAGCGCTGTACTTAAAGTCAATGGTACAACACATCACATGCTACTACGATTTCCTTTCAATTTTATTAATTTTCATCAACGCGTTACTTGTGTTGAGTTATTGATTAATTATAATTTTATTTAGTCCCACCACAAATCACCCCGTTCGAGTTCGGTGAGGAGATTTTAAATGAAGGTGAAACAGCGTCTGTTTCTTGTGTCATGAGCAAGGGAGATCTGCCGGTTACTTTCAAATGGCGTTTTAACGGTGAAGAAATCAAACCGAGAAACAATGTTGGAATAGTACTGACCACTATCAGCAAGAAAACTTCTATTTTAAACATTGAAGCTGTCACCTCAGTCCACCGCGGATCTTACACTTGTGAAATAAAAAATGCCGCCGGAGAAACTAACCACACTACACTCCTCAGTGTCAATGGTTCGCTTTATTCCTGATTTCTTTTGTTTTAGTAAAGCTTTTTATTTTAATGCAGTTCCTCCCCAAATTTCACCCTTCGAGTTCGGCGATGAACCGGCCAACGCCGGTGACACTGCGTCCGTCCAATGCGTTATGAATAAAGGCGATTTGCCAGCAAATTTTTCATGGACTTTCAATGGAAAAATAATATCGAAAAGCAACACGATGGGCATCGCTATTGGCAGTATGAGCCGTAAAATGTCAATCCTGAACATAGACTCTGTCAATGGCACCCACCGAGGAGTATACGCATGTCACGTTGAAAATTTAGCTGGTCAAGTCAATCACAGCGCTACGTTGGAAGTCAATGGTTCTTTTAACATCTTACATTATTATGTAGTTTCCTGATAGAATTATTTATTTGCCTGTGTCTTATGGTAATATTATAATGTCATAGTTTTGCCACAAATCCATCCTTTCACCTTTGGGGAGGAGCCAGCGAACGCGGGAGACACTGTCGGCGTGCAATGCATGGTCACGAAGGGAAACACTCCTGTTAATATCACGTGGCTGTTGAACGGAAAACCTGTCAATGAAATGCCTGGTGTCACAGTCACGAAGATTGGACACAAATCGAGCAGTTTGTCCATCGATGCGGTTGTATCGTCACATTCAGGGGTTTATACTTGTTCTGCGTTCAACCAAGCCGGTTACGCTAACTATTCATCCGAGTTGGTAGTGAACGGTAATCCGAATAACAGATTTAATTGTTATTATGCTTTCTAATATTTCTCGTATGTTTTCCCCCATATCCTTCTATCACATTAATTAATTAGGATACCTATTTCACAAAAACAAGAGCAACGAGGCATACGTAACCAAATTCCTACTGTTCAATGTGTTATAGTTACGAAAAACCCTTAACTATCTTCGTCTTATAGTGGTACCTCAGGTCACACCCTTCGATTTTGGTGAAGAAATACTAAACGCAGGCGATACGGTTTCGCTGACGTGTACGGTTGGAAAAGGCGACTTACCTTTAAAAATCCACTGGCAACTGAATAACCAGCCCTTAAATTCTGGGAATGGTGTACTGATAAATAGAAATGGAAAAAGAATTTCCATTTTAAGTATAGAAAATGTCCAACACGAACACATTGGAAATTACACTTGTATCGCTGAAAATGACGCCGGCAGCACTAGCCATACCGCTGTGCTCAACGTTAATGGTACAAAACACTGAAGTATCTTCTAAATTATTCCACTTTTGGCTGCACGCTTCTCTTATTGTTATTTAATTACACTTACATAGTTTTATATTAGGTACTATTATACATTTTTGTTATGTTGTCCTGCCTATCCTCCGTCCTACCCATACTGGGTCGATCTCGTGTGTGGCAAATAATAAACGGGCGCTTTAATTTTACCCATATTCTTATACTTTTATTTTAACGCTTTGCTTCGATACCAAAAGTAAAATAATATTTTTTGATAATCTTTAGTTGCACCCCAAATTATGCCTTTCGATTTTGGCACTGATCCCGTAAACGACCAAGAGATGGTGGTAGCTATGTGCACTGTTAGTAAGGGTGACATGCCTCTCGACATACATTGGTACTTTAATGGGAAAATAATTAAATCTGGAACTAATGGAGTTGTACTGACGAACACTAAACGCACAAGCCAACTTACCATAGAGTCCGTAACGCATCACAATCAAGGAAATTACTCTTGCGTCGTACAAAATCTAGCGGGCACTACAAACCACACCTCCGAGCTCTATGTCAACGGTATTACATAAAAGAACTGCGTAGATCTTTTTTCTCTTAATTTAATGTATTATTATGCTTTCGCTTACTCCAGTTTCCTATTTAGTTCCTCCGCAGATAATGCCTTTTGAATTTGGCGAAGAGCCCGTAAATGCCCAAGAAATGGTTTTAGTTACTTGTACGGTCACTAAGGGAGATCTGCCATTGGCAATCGAATGGTTTTTCAACGATCATTTGGTTAAATCGGGTAGCAATGGAGTCAATTTGATGAATACAAAACGTACAAGTCAGCTTAGTATAGAATCTGTCACTCACCAAAATCAAGGAAACTTTACGTGTGTAGTGAAAAATCAAGCTGGTGTCATAAACCATACTGCAGAATTATTCGTAAATGGTATTAAATCACTTCCATTTGCATTTTTTTTAAATTATAAGTAGTGCATGTCATAAATATGCTAATCATCCACCCTGCCCTTGTTTTGCGATATGTTGTAACTTTGGCGGGTCATAAAGGTATAGCAGGATAAAGGATAATATTTCAAAATAAAATAAATGGACAAGAAAAATATCTACATATAATAAGTACATGCATTTCAGTGGCTCCGATCATTACTCCTTTTGAGTTCGACGAATCCGTATTCTATGGAGAAGGTGTTCAAGTGATGTGCCATGTTCCCAAAGGCGACAAACCCTTGGTATTCGAATGGAATTTTAGTGGTGGAGACGTGAGTTCTTTAGCTGGGGTGAACATCATGCGGGTTGGGGATAGGGGGTCAGCGCTCATAATACCTACCGTGACAGCCAAACATTCTGGCAATTACACATGCACAGCCTCCAATGTTGTTGCCAATGCTAAACATCATGCCACGCTCAATGTCAAGGGTGAATAACAGCTTTCTCGTCTCCTGCTCTGCACTCCCGTATTTCTTTGCAATGCCAAGTATTCGTGTATTCAGTGTACCTGATCATATATTTCAGTGTCGCCATTAATATCCCCTTTCGAATTTGACGAAGCGGTATTTTATGGGGAAAGCATACAAGTTATGTGCCATATTCCTAAAGGCGACATGCCATTAAACCTTACGTGGTCATTTCGCGGCCAACATTTGAGCAAAAATGCCGCCGTCAAAATAACAACATTAGGCGACAGGAGTTCCATACTAGCTATACCTGCCGCTACTGAAAAACATTCAGGAAATTACACCTGCACAGCTTCCAATATCGTAGCCAGCACCAACCACACCGCCGTATTAAACGTTCAGGGTACATATAAGAAATTATTTTGTTTGTTTTGCGTCTTCATAGTTTTTTGTTTATTGATTTTTACCCTTACCAGTTCCTCCGCACATCGTACCATTTGAGGCTGAAGAATCAGTTTTTGCTGGAGAATCCGTCCAGTTGAATTGTCATGTATCCAAAGGCGATGCTCCTCTTACTATTACATGGAGTCTTCACGGAGAAGAATCTTCTTCTCACAAAGGGATAACCACGATGAAGATCGGCGACAGAACCTCGTTGCTGACTATATCTAGTGCCACGGCTAGTCACAGTGGCGAATACTCTTGTCATGCTTCGAACCATGCCGGAACTGTGGTACACTCTACCACTATTAACGTCCATGGTATATCGTCCACTTCGTTAGCTATCCTCTGCCTTTATCGCACGCTGCACGCTTGCCTCAGTAATATGTTGACTTTCTGGATTAACAGTATTGCCATACATCGTCCCCTTCGAAGCAGACGAGTCGGTGTTTGCTGGCGAATCGGTACAGCTCAACTGTCATGTGTCTAAGGGTGACTTGCCCCTTAAAATCAATTGGCACTTTGAAGGATATGGAAACAGCACTTCGCATCTTGGCATAATGACTACTAAAATGACATCACGTACCTCATTCTTATCTATCGGCGCGGCATCTGCTGATCATAGCGGCAACTACACATGTGATGTGAGCAACAGAGCCGGTTCCGCTAATCATTCCACTGCCCTTAATGTTCATGGTCAGTCTTACCCATCATTATCATATTTCATCGTGTTTAAGTTTCTCACACCAGCGATTCGATGCTAATAGATGTGTAAATGGAATAGCATGAATTCCATATACACATCCTTGAGCAACGTACGCTTATTATTTTTTTGTTGAACCATCAATCATTTTTCTTCTGATTTTTTTGTTCTATCTTACACAACAATGCCGAACATTTTGCCATTTAACGTTGATGAAGCCATATTTCCTAAAAAATATATACGAAAATATACCATAAATGAAAGGAGATTCTCGCTCAAAAATATCATATCAAATTAAAAACATTTATTCGACACAAACGCGGAGAAAAGACAGATGCGTACATACGTTTTTAACATAAAAGAGAGACTAATATAAGTATTAAAAATAAGAGTATTAAGATCATCGTCAATTCTGTTGCTAATGTCTGTTACCGTTCCCATAGTGGAAATTCGACTTACATCACCAAAAGCGCGGTGAAGGAACAACATCGTAATACCTGTCCTAAAAACAATCTGTTACTTGGATTTAGTCTTGAAATTAGGACCGATTAGAAAAAGTTCGCTTATTAATTTTTTGCCTCTATTCTCTGCAATTTCTAACCGCATTTTATCTTTTGCACTTATATTGAAGTGGTACCGCATATAATCCCATTTGAAGTCGAAGAATCAATTTTTGCTGGCGAATCAGTTCACCTTACTTGCCACGTGTCTAAGGGAGATCGACCACTTCAAATAACTTGGAACTTTCAAGGAAACGAAATTCCTTATCACAATAATATGGGTATCACCACAACTAAATTAGGAGATAAAGCTTCGGTGCTTAGTATTCCGACAGCGATGGGTCATCACAGTGGAAACTACACTTGCACTGCCAGTAACCTCGCGGGGCGTGCGCATCACTCTGCTCTCGTCAACATCCATGGTATTTGAGCCCGTCCCCTACTTCCTAATAGCAAATGTCTACTATGATGATGTTAGAATGCACGTTTAGATTTTGTCTTAGAATTCTACTATTTATTTCTATTCTGATCAGTTCCTCCCCATATAATGCCGTTCGAAATCGAAGAGTCCATTTACTACGGCGAGTCGGTTCAAATGACCTGCCATGCGAGTAAAGGAGATCGTCCCATGTCTATTACATGGACATTTGAAGGACAAAACCTTGCAAACAGACAAGATTCAGGGCTCAGAACTATGAAAATGGCTGAACAGACTTCATTTCTAAGCATAGCATCGGTTACTGGAACCCACAGTGGAAATTATACTTGTATTGCGAAAAATAAAGCAGGAGAAGATAGATATACAACAGCTCTACACGTCAAGGGTATTCCTAATTTAGAATGTACCGCATGTTTACATAAATGCTCCTCACTAACTTTACGCAATTTTTTTGTTGCTCAGTCGTCCCACATATCAAACCCTTCGAATTGGACGAAGCCGTGTTCGCTGGAGAGTCGGTACACCTCGACTGCCACGTACCCAAAGGAGACCTGCCTTTGAACATACAATGGAGTTTTCAAGGTCAAAGCGTGACTCATATTGTGGGATTAAAGACAATGGCCCTTAGTGGACGCGTGTCTGTGCTTGACATTCCCAACGTTATGGGTCAAAATAGTGGGAACTATACCTGCACGGCCACAAATAAGGCGGGTTCTGCCAGTCATACTGCCGTGCTCAACGTTATCGGTACACAAATTCTGTATATAGGATGATGCTTGCTTTTTCTTCAGTTCCTCCTGTGGTCCAACCCTTCTCATTCGGGGAAGTCGCTTTGAATTCCGGGCAAGTTGTAACAACTCCTTGCTCCGTTATCGAAGGAGATCACCCCTTACAGCTGCGATGGCTCTTTGACGGTGAACCTATCAAGCCGAGGTTCGGCGCCGCCGTATTTAATATAGGCGAGAGAAGTGCCATTCTTAGTATTGCTTCGGTACAACACAATCACGCAGGAAATTACACCTGCGTCGCGGAAAACGAGGCCGGAACCGATTCCCATACCGCAAATTTGATAATCAACGGTGCTTACAACAATTTGTATTAGTGCACTCATAAGAATGTATAAATAAGCATATTATTATTAAGTATATTTTCCGTATTTTCCAATTAATTTTTTCTCTTATCTGAAGAATATTTCAGTTCCCCCAAACATTCTTCCTTTTACCTTCGGCGAAAAACCAGCTAATTTCGGAGAATATTTACAAGCATCGTGTACTATCAACTTAGGAGATCTCCCTCTTACAATAACCTGGATGTTTAATGGTCAACCCATTTCACAAAGGAATAATGAATATGTGTTGACTAATTCGAGAAGAAGTAGCTTACTCATAATAGAATCAGTGGACGCGAAACACGCTGGGTCTTATACATGTATCGGAGAAAACCGTGCAGGGCGTAGTACTTTTTCATCAGATCTTGTAGTTTACGGTTAGTCGTTAATATCGTTATTTAATTTGTAGAAATCTTTTGTGTCACCTAGTGAAATTTTGTTTCAGTTGTTCCTAAGATTGCCCCCTTTATAGCCGGTCCGGAACCGGCTTTTCTTGGGGATTACTTTGCTCTTCAATGTATCATAACACACGGAGATCAACCAGTACGTATTGAGTGGACAATCAATAATGAAACCGCCAACTCAGTACAGGGTGCTCGTATCAGTAACAATGACAGAAGAAGTAGCGTGCTTACCATAGAATCATTAGAAGCAAAACATGCCGGTCTATACAATTGTACTGCGACTAATGCCGCCGGTGTCGCATCGCACACTACAGAATTAGTCGTAAAGGGTGCGAAAACCAAAAATATGATCGTTCACTTTCGCTTCTTACCATTCCTCCATTTATTCCGGATCCTATAATTTATCGCTTCTTCATACAAACGTTTTATTACCCCAGTTCCACCATTGATTGTGCCGTTCAATTTCGGTGAGACACCATCCAATCCCGGCGATGCTGTGGTTGTAAACTGCGTCGCAACAAAGGGAGACCTGCCCCTAGACATATCGTGGACGTTCAGCAGTGAAACTATTGACTCGAGTCAACACCGTGACATCACGACGATGCAGCTAGGCCCACGCGCATCGGCGCTATCTATCAACTCTGTGAGCGCAAATCATCAGGGCAACTACACGTGCATCGTTCAAAACGCGGCCGCCCGCGCAGAGTATGCAGCAACGCTCGTCGTCAATGGCACGTTTTTATCTAGCACGTTTTTAATGCGGCCTGAGTCGGGGACTAACATCACAAATAGCACTATACGATAAACCAACTTGTTCACAGTCACAATTTTCCATATTGCCAGTCGCTAACATTGCCTGATGCCAAAACCAGATCTAACCTTACTTTCTATGGTTATTTCCAGTAATACCTCGTATTGTTCCATTCTCGTTCGAGACTCCGTTATATGCGGGGCAGGCGACTCAAGTCACATGCTTAGTTTCTGAGGGTGACCAACCATTGGAAATTCAGTGGTACTTTGAAGGAATCCCTTTAAAAGAAAAAGCTGGCGTATCGGCCACTAAAATAGCACAAAGAGCGTCGTTGTTTATTGATCGACCCAGCTGGGTGGTCACACAGCGGAGCTTACGCGTGCCTCGCACGCAATGCCGCCGGCTCGTCCAACTATACTGCTTCGCTTGAAGTACATGGTATAATACACGCATCTGTGTACCCTTCTTCCTAGCACGGACGAGCTTTGCATAGTATCAATATTGTACGCTTAGAACCGATATACAGGGCAGTGCGCCAATACAAACTCATTTACTGTTAAATCAGACCTATGCCTCTTAAAAGCCTGTTTGTTTTTAATAAAGACACTCTAGATCCCTTAGTACATGCACATAAATACTCTACACGGTGGGCAGATCATTGTCAAAAGTGTCGTTTCTAGGAATCGGCTGCGGCTCTCATCGACTACACCATTTCCACCCCTCCTTTTAGCATTTTATTTAGATCCATCCTTTTCCATTTTCCTGGGTTCCCATCTTTATTTTTGTTTGTTTTTTTTTAATTTGCCTGGTTTTGTTTTATTCGCTTAGATGCTTGGCTTACTAACAACAACTACCTATCTAATGAAATATGAAATAGATTTTTTTAGATATGAAAAGAATTACGAACCAAATACAGTATATTAATATACTTATATATGAATCAGTATTTGTATTCTATCCGTTAACCTATTATCCCATACCACAAGCCTACAGTGCTTACTTTGGGGCTAGGCTAATTGGTGTTGATAATATTTATTTATTTACTGTAATAATAAGTAAATATTTCATCAGACTGTGTTGTACGCTTTTCGTTGCATTTCGCTTCTCATTATTGGTTATTACATCTATAATTGTTTGCTTGAAAAAATATTTTTGTCGTTTAATGTTGAAATAAATGTATTTAAAGCTTCTATAGCGAGCTCTTTTGGTCAATTCATTTATATTCACACTAAATGTTGCAGCACTAAATATATAAAGCAAAGTTATAGAAGCTACTTCAAAAGCAAAAGCTGAACTTGAATTCCAAATAGTTACTTAGAAAATAATTTATTTCATTTATAGACTTCAATGTTAAGGTGTCTTAGTACAATTATTATACAGTATTCAAGTTCAGCGTTGATATAGATATAAAATCTGCATATTGGCGTGCATCCATAAAATTTAAAAAGATTAACTTGATTATTCAATGAAATAAATAATTTTATAGTAATTTATTGAGATGAAAAAAATTAAAAGAGAAATTAGAAGAGGCCAATAATAGTGATAACTTGGATTTAAAGTAAAATCAAATATTATAAATGATAATATAAAAAATGACTTAGACGCTTTCGCTTTTCACAAAATAAATGTTCAGCAGATGTTATAGCCTATATTAAAATTTCAGTGCCCCCCCGTTGGATTCTGGAACCCACTGATAAAGCTTTTGCTCAAGGCTCAGATGCCAAAGTGGAATGTAAGGCCGATGGCTTCCCCAAGCCTCAAGTCACATGGAAAAGGGCTGAAGGTAAGGTCTATTTTAATCTAGGCATTAAAATATCTTAAGGACATATTTACTAAAGTCATGTATTAATACTTTGTTTATTTACAGGGGATACGCCTGGCGATTACAAAGACTTAAAACCAAATAATCCTAATGTTAAAGTTGAGGATGGTACACTCACGATTGCTAATATTCAAAAGACGAACGAAGGTTATTATTTATGTGAAGCTGTTAATGGAATTGGCTCTGGATTATCAGCCGTCATTTTGATCAGTGTACAGGGTAAGTCACAAGAAATAAACAACCCATGAAATTTTTCGAATTACGGTCTTATTATCCGGTTGAATATAATAAGTTGAGAATGAACCCAATATTTGAAAAAAATAACAGTATCTAACAAAAGATATTTATTTACCTACTCTTAAAAATCAGTTTTGTTACTTAACGTATTTTTTTATTTTCGTGTTTGTGGAATATAGTAATAACAATTTTTTTCTACTCAAACATATGTCCGTTACAGCTCCACCCCAATTCGAAATTAAAATGAGGAATCAAACTGCTCGCCGAAGTGAACCAGCTGTTTTGCAATGCCAGGCTAAAGGAGAAAAGGTATCGCAATGACATTACATTCTTTTATTGATCTTAAAATTCAAAATTTATTTAGAGAGATTTGATTATTATCACCTTCATATTTTAGCCAATTGGTATTATATGGAACATGAATAACAAGCGCCTTGAGCCCAAATCTGACCCACGGTACACGATCCGCGAAGAAATTCTGCCTGGAGGTGTTATTTCTGACCTGAGCATCAGAAGAACCGAACGATCTGACAGTGCACTTTTCACCTGTGTTGCTACCAATGCTTTCGGATCAGATGACACTTCGATTAACATGATTATTCAAGGTAAACTATAATCCATACTAACATTAAAAATATATTTGATGCAGACTTTGAAGAAAAGCAAACAAGTAGCAAAAAAAAAATACTTGAAAAGCTGAACTAGGAAACGATTTTTCAGTAGTTTTTTTACGTTCTAACGAAATCGTTAATATTTTTTTTTTATATATAAAAAATTATTATTTGAATAATGCAGAGGTTCCCGAGGCACCATATGGCTTGAAGGTTTTGGATAAATCTGGAAGAACCGTTCAGCTTTCTTGGGCCGCACCTTACGATGGAAACTCGCCGATCAAGAAGTTCCTTATTGAATACAAACGCGCAAAAGGCAACTGGGACAAAGATATTGACCGGTACTTATAGTGTCCAAATTACCTAAGACAGGCTCAAAAATAACTTTAAAATATTAGTCTTTAACTTCATGTTACTTTCAACAGAGTTCTCGTTCCTGGTGACGCTACGGAAGCCGGAGTGTTCAGCCTGAGACCTGCAACAGCTTATCACATTAGGATTGTTGCTGAAAATGAATTAGGCACTTCTGAACCTTCCGAAACAGTCACTATTATTACCGCTGAAGAAGCCCCAACCGGTCCACCTCAAGACGTTAAAGTAGACGCTATTGATAAACATGCTCTAAGAGTTACCTGGAAACCTCCCCCACCTCATGACTGGAACGGTGAACTCCAAGGGTATGTCTCCTTCTCATTACCATTAACATTTCATTATGTAACGCTTTATTTAATTTTGAATAATGATTGAAATGTTTTAGATATTATGTTGGTTACAAGCTTGCGTCGAGCAACAAATCATTTGTATTCGAAACTGTTGACATCTCCAAGGAATCTGGCAAGGAGCACCACCTAGACATTCTCAATCTCAAGTGAGTATAACACAAAGAAGACTACAAATTTTCAAACTAATTTGTGCGGGTATTGATAATCTTATTATTTTCGTTCAGGACTTACACCCAATATGCCGTCGTCGTTCAAGCTTTCAATAAGATAGGATCAGGGCCAGTGTCAGCTGAAGTTCGTGCTTATACCGCCGAAGGCGCTCCTTCTGCCCCACCACAAGATGTTCTCTGCACCACTCTTACTGCGCAAACTATTCGCGTATCCTGGATTTCCCCACCTCTTGCTGCAGCCAATGGACTTATCAAAGCCTACAAAGTGATTTACGGACCCAGCGAAACTTGGTATGGTATGTATCATTCATAAACAATGGTTCTAATTAAGAACGCTATTTAAATAATTACCAATTTAAATTTGATGTATTTAAAAATCATTTTGATACGGTTTCTAGACGAAAAGACCAAAGACACCAAAATCACGGCTAGCAGTGAGACGATCTTACACGGCCTGAAGAAATACACGAACTACTCAATGGAAGTGCTTGCTACCACAAATGGAGGAGATGGGGTACGATCTACACCTATCCACTGCCAGACCGAACAAGACGGTAAATGTGCTAGGAAATACTAATATGAAAAGTCGCATTCGTGACTTGATGGAGATTAACTGTGCTTTTTTCTGTTTATAGTCCCGGAAGCCCCGCGTGCCGTTAAAGCTTTAGTTATGGGCCAAGACTCGATCCTTGTTTCATGGAGGCCGCCGGCGCAACCCAATGGTGTGGTGACACACTACAATGTCTATACACAAGCACAAAATGCAGAACCTCGCCCCAACAAGGTATTTATTAGCCCGTTTACTTTCAGCCTATTCGCGCGGCATTTGCCGCTTGCTATTTAGCAAGGACATTTATGGCACGTTTATATGGGTGATGAGAACATGTAAACAGGTCGCTTTCATTGCCTTGAACGTTAACGCTCGCGTTGCCCATCGATCCCCTAAAAGGCGGTTTCATGCGGACGTTAAAGAAATCCGTACAAGCGCGACTATTGCTATCACTCTCACTGCCACCATCTCTCACTCGTGCATTAGTCTAATTAAAACAGTAGTCAATTTGGAAAGCAATATGATGCGATAGACGGTAGGTAGCAACATCAAGGGCAATGTGAATTTATACTGACATTGTCCTTGACGTTGCTTTTATAGTAATTCTTCTATAAATGCTATAGCAACACAAACGGCAATTGAATGTAAATGGGCCAGAAGAATGTAGCTTCTTCAATGGTACTGGACCACCATAGAAGAAGCTACATTGTTTCATACTTATTTTACAACTACATAGAACTTAGCTTTGATTTTATTTCAGGTGCCTGCATCTCAAACAAGCTATTCCGCAACAGAACTGAAACCAGGTCGCTATGATTTCTGGGTAACCGCGTCCACCATCATCGGGGAAGGTCAACCTTCAGCCACCGCTTCTTGCAGTCCTAGCGATAAAGGTGTCTATTATTTTCTATAACTCAATAGCTTTTACAAAACGAATATAGGTCCAGAGATTAAAGTCAACTTGCACTCACAATGGTCTAGGATGAAAATAACTATGTAGTTTTGTTTGCTCCATTAACGGTGCAAACGAAACCGCAGTTCTTATTGTATAGTGTCATCTGCATCATTGAGGTGACACTATTATATATATGCAGAATGAATAAGTTAATAAGTATATATGCAGAAGTAATAAAAACATATGGTCTTAAGGCTAAAATTGGCAATGCGTTTATTAAAAACTTCGAATATGGCCCATATCCATAAAAATAATATTATATTGTCATATGTTTGTTACAGTTCCTGCTAAAATTGCTTCTTTCGACGAATCGTTCACTGCCACATACAAGGAAGACGTTAAATTGCCCTGCCTCGCTGTCGGCGTTCCGTCTCCCAACATCATTTGGAAGGTAATGTGATTTTGGTACAATAAATTTCGACGATTTTTTACAGCTTCTGCCGTCACTCAACCTTAGGAATGCGTTTGATTCACGTCAAAGGCGATTCCTATCATTCCCCAGCATATGTGTTTATTCATGCTCTCTTTGGTATATTTTTCACATTTCCGAACCCGAATGGGAACATGCCCACGGACGATGTTTCTAAATATAATTTAGGTTTTCAATTCGTCCGGTTTGCGTTTGTAGACTTCATAATGGCCGGTTTTAGTGGCACTTCATAGGGCACGTTAAGCCATTAGTGCCGGCTGCCCTATAGATTTAACAGGGTGCTAAGACTGTATATAGTAGACGTAGAGGTGATGCAGGTGAAAGACCAGCACCTAGTGCCTTCGGAACGAGTCCGCCAGTTGCCCGAAGGATCGCTGCTGATCGTGGGCGTGGCACGCGACGATGCCGGCGAATATTCCTGCCACGTATTTTATCCGGAGCTCGATGGCGCCAGTGGTTAGCGCGTTCGACTGCGATCGATGAAGTTAAGCAACTTTCGCAGTGATCGGTCATTGGATGTGTGACCAAAAATTTACTATCTCGAGCTCCTCCGTGCTTCGGAAGGCACTTTAAGCCGTTGGTACCGGTTGCATCTGCAGTCGTTAGCACCCGCCAATCCGCACTGGGCCCGCGTGGTTGGCAATGGTCCAATCTGTTTCATTGGTACTATCTAATAGTATTTTTTAAATCCGTATATTTCCAATGTCCACTTTTTTCAAAATCCCGACCAGTGTGCGACGCTGGCGAATATTCCTGCCACGTATTTCATCCATAGGGAAGTTAGGGACATTAATAAACTTTTGCTATTTTTCTTGCTGTTGCTTTAACATGCGTGATACAGGTGAAAGGTCAGCCGCTAGCACCTTCGGAACGCGTCCGCCAGTTGCCCGAAGGATCGCTGCAGATCGCGGGCGTGGCTCGCGACGACGCCGGCGAATATTCCTGCCACGTAGACAACCAGTTCGGCACTGACACCGTCACTCACACTCTCTCCGTTCTCGGTAAGATCCTTCTCATATCATAAATGTGAAAGTTTGTATGTTTGCACCATAGAAGTATAAGAATAGAGTAGGGGAGATATAGACTCTACTACAAGTGGAAGTGTCCCTCTAATAGAAAGAGAAAGGAGATAAGAGACGAGATGCGTGATTAGAGAGAGAAGCTAGCTTTTTCTCTCTAATCACGCATGCGCATTGGCAACCGTAAGCATCTTACTATTTCGATGTGATACCGTTGGATGCCATGCGTCACAAGAGAGAGAGATAACTAGCGCTTTCTCATCTTCTTTCTCTTTCTACCAGACGGACACTTTTAGAGCTACCTTCCCCAGTCTATTCTTATACCTCTATGGTTTGCACGCAATGACTCGTGTCATGCGTGAGCAAGCCGAGTAGTCACGAAATATTCCCAACACCTTCCTAAGATAGGTAATTAGAATGATCGGCATTGCCGATTAGTTGGCCGACTAGCTGGCAATTTGAAAGACGACTAGTCGGCAAATACTATAGTCGGCCCATCTCTACTAAAGATAACACGGACAATGGCGCGGGCGGCCCCTAGTCATACTTCATACTAATATTATAAAGGCGAAAGTTTGTGAGTGTGTATGTTTGTTACTTCTTCACGTCTAAACGGCTGGAGCGATTTTAGTAAAATTTGGTATGGAGTTAGCTGACACCCTGGATTAACACATAGGCTACGTTTTACTGCGGGAATATATCCCTACTAAATCGCGGGTAACACCGCGGGGCACAGCTAGTAATATTATAAATGTGAAAGTGTATGTTTGTTAGTTAATCGCGCAAACATTACTGAATAGATTTGGATGAATTTTGGTACACATATAATAATTGACCTGGATTGAGACATACTAAAGTTAACGTGGAATTAGTGGCGAGCGGTCGCTAATAACGAAATATAATAATCAATACTATTGTGAACTATTTACTATATAATTTTGATAGATACTTTTTGTACAATTTATACGTCAATGCTTTGTAATTTTCTTTTAAAACTAAATAATTGTTTATAATTGTGTAAAATTCGCTCGTTTAATTTCTTTAAAATTACCCGTTATTTTGATTATTTCCATTAGTTTGATTCAGTTTTACAGTCCATCCCAATCATATACTTATATAATTAATTCGAAAGAATCTGTCTGTTACTTGTTACGCTTTAACCGCCGAACCGATTATATAGGGATAGTTTGAATCCCGGCAATGAAAGTACGATTGTTTTTATTCCAAAAAATCATCCTTTAGCGGGTGAAAAGGGTTGGTAGAAGTTTGTATAGGAAACCATTGCGGGAGTCGCGGGCATCCGTTTGTACATACACATAGGTAGACTTATAATTAGTTGTTTCTAATAGCGTAGAGCGGGTTTTTTACACCATATCGAATGCCAGTTAATCGGTGAAACTTAACCGAGAACCCGATATTAGTAATGTAATTATATCCAAACTGCCACCAATATTTCCACCGAATTTATGGTCAATATCAAGTAATATGTCGTAAAATTAACCAAGGAGTCAAAATAACGCAGAAGCCTGGCATCGACGATTGAATACACTACTTGATAAACACGGACTGAACACCATAATAAGATTTTGATCAGAGAGCATTCGTTCTTATAAAACATCGATTTGATTAGCTTTTGATCTATTGGCATAACGCGCTATTGATCTATCGATTATTTCTCATTGGATCGAATGGCATGTCGATTTATTGGATTTTTGGTTTATTGTCACCGATCAACCGGCATTCGATATGGTGTAGAAAACCCGCGTAGAGCAGTTGGAATGGTATTATTTTATCTATGTCACATGTATAGTAGGGGCAAACTTCTTGAGCAAAACCATAGACTAATAAACATGCGCAGGAGACGTTTTTCTATGTAAAATTGCTGCTTCAGGCTTCCTTGTCTAAAGTCGTTGCTCAAGAAGTTTCCCGGGTTGTATACTTACCTTATAATATTTCGCTAGCTCCGCCGTTCCCGCCTCAGTTGACAGTCGCTTCTTCGTCCGTATCGTCTCTAACCATCCGCTTGAAGCCATCCGTGGATGCCGACCAATCTCCCGCTGTCGGATACACTATCCATTACAAACAGGAATTCGGCGACTGGGAGACGGTTCAAGTAAGCATCAATACTCATCACTAGCGGATCAGACAAATGTTGTTCTATCCTCTTGTCCAAACTAACCATCCGCTTGAAGCCATCCGTGGATGCTGACCAATCTGCCGCTGTCGGATACACTATCCATTACAAACAGGAATTCGGCGACTGGGAGACGGTTCAAGTAAGCATCAATACTCATCACAAGCGGATCAGACAAACGTTGTTCTATCCTCTTGTCCAAACTAACCATCCGCTTGAAGCCATCCGTGGAAGCGGATCAATCCCTCGCCGCCGGATATACTATCTACTACAGACAGGAATTCGGCGACTGAGAGACGGTTCAAGTAAGCATCATATTAATAAGAAAAATAACTGTATATTTCTTATCCCCGCACCATTTGGCGATCCCCAAAAGGTTTTTAGTCTAATATCTTGATTGATCTTAAAGTAATTGCAGTAATAAGTTTATATAGTTTTTGAGAAAGCACCAACCCACACTGGGCCCGTGTGGTGCATCATGGCCAATCTCCCTATTCCATTCATATGAAAGGCCAGTGCCCCAGTAGTGGGGACATTTATAGGCTGATGATGAGGATAGTTTTCATTTACACACAAACTATGTGCTAGCTCCTCATAACTATGATATTAAAACCGCTAGATAGAAACTTTGAGCTGTTGAAGTTTCGAAAATAGCCATGGTACATCCAAATCGAAAAATACTATGAGGGCTGCATCGAAAATCAAACTAAATAAAGCTTAAATCACAGAACAATATAAAAGGCGCCGATCAAGTCAAAAATCATAGCAATCGGCTTACGAGGACCCGGCCAACCAGGCCTCCGAAGTTGCTTTTTGCACCGAAAATCGCATTGCATAAATTCTTTAATATAAAAATGGAGAAGGGTTCCCAGTTCAAAGGACAATGTTAAAATTGGCCTAAGAACCAACACCAATTTGGCATTTATGATAATTCTTAGTATATTTTTTGCGATAATTATCAATATTTAGTTTGTGACGGACACTTCCAGTTAAGTAAGCTAAATTAAAAAGTAAAAAAATAATCTGAGACAATAAATACCATTTTATATGTAAAAATTTATGACAGCGCTGCAAACAAACACTCTTTCTTCCTAAAGCCGGCACTTCACTTGGCTATTCGTATTTGCTGTTTAAAAATATGACATCAGTCTGTCCTTTTCATTCCTTATTAAGCATGACAAGGACAAACTGTTGTCAATTGAAGGGCCTAAAAGGGCATAAAACTCGATACTTTGTGGTTGTGGTGCAGGCAGTTTGCATTTGTAGTAATCTGTGGCATTCGTGCATTCTCGTTTCGGATTACCTGTTGTGTGTGTTTATTTGCGATTGTTTTTCCTTTAATTTAACTCTTTCGGCTATCTAATATGCTATCGATGTTACCAAAGAGCAGAGACCTTATTACCAAGTGCTAGTGAACCTCTGCCACAACATCCTGAGAGGATCATACTGCCAAATTATTCAAGAACACCTTATACCCATTCACGCTGCATATTTACACAATATACATGTGATATACAAATAAATACAAAACAATATGATAAAATTACTTATAGTCAAAAAACAAGAAGCAAAACTACAGTTTTTATTTTATTCATGATTCCTACCTAACCAAGCTTTTCCTAATAGTTATTCTTTAAAATTGCACCGAATAAAATGAATTAGTTGTAATATTAATTCACTTCATACCGAGTTCATACTGAGTTCATAGGTTGACCTATGTTTCATTGAATATTAAATATAACCTCAAAAAAGAAATAGTTTTCCTAATAATTTAAGTGCTCGGAAGTGTCCGTCAATAATCTTTGTTTTATCAGTCATTTACTTGCGATTTCGAACCTAGAAAATAATATTTCATGATTGTTGGTTCTTAGGCTGACTATGTATGGACGCAGAACAATGTCCTTTGAGGAACGACCTCTGCTGTCCATTTTTTGCAATTCTTCTCGGAGCTCTATGGCTTACTTACTTTTTAACGGTCCGCATGAGACTATATACCAAGGTATGCTTGAGTGGTGTTTAGAAGCACTTCTTGAATGGGTCACATTTTCAGTTCTGGTGGTGTATATAATATGTTTATTTATTATGTTTTTAATATCATTGACCCTTAATTTATTAAACCTTATCTTGAATCAAAAAATAAATTAAAGATAATAACAACTTACCTCAAACGTGTAGTGAATTTATTCTTCTATTTCCAGATTCCAAGCAGCACTGAAACCTACACTCTGGAGAATTTAGTTTGCGGCACCAGATATCAACTTTACGTAACGGCTTACAACAGGTAATTATTATTATTATCATTTATTAAATAAGACAGTAGGTCCCTTCTTCGATAAGTTAAAAAATATAAAAAATAATTATGATAGATGTTGAAAAAGAATCACTAAATCTTTTTCTTTAAAACAGTTCGAAATTATGTCATCATATGCAGGCTAATTTTGCTTCCAGCCCTTATTTTTATTTGCCTCGTAACCGAACTCCACCACTCATAAGTTAAAGGATTGAAAGAGCCGCTCCATAAAAGTGTCACCTGGCCTCGCACGCCACATTATTTATCGCCATGTGATAATTTAAATATTGACGTAATTATAGAAACTAGATGTGCCATTTGAACTTCTACCACATCATTAGAAAACTTGTAAAGTTAAACATGGTTTAAAACCGATACTGTCACTTGTGTTTGCTAAAAATAAGACTGAGACAGCATTAGGTTTAAATCATGACTAACTTTATTCCACGTTTTGTACTAAGGTGGCTAATGATCATTGAAAATCGGTTTGTATAGTAGTCATTTACTTGTATTAGTTTAATAATGGCCGGATTTTAGAGGAGTGGAGGCGCCTCTAATTAGGGCATATTCTAAAGTCTGGCATCCGGGGCCACTTCTGATTTGCACATCTCCCCCACACCCCCTTGGTTGATGACTCGACGAAATTCGGTTATTTCATTTTTTATCTCTGTTTGGAGGCCCTGGCCTCCCGCATGTTTTTATTAAACTCAATTGTCGAATTACTATGGAATTTGATAGTTAGACGCGATAAAAACGTGATTTAACGTATATTGTGGTGCCTATGCTGGGGGGGTTGGGCTTCAGCCCCGCCTGCCTTACCTTAAATCCGGCCCTAACTGTAATCGTCAAAAACACGTAGCGATTTTCGCAAACACAGCGACGAATTAATCTTTAGTGTACACTACAGCATCGGCACCGGTTAAATACACGTAGCGAAGAATCGCTGTGTTTGCGTATTTGTTAAACGTTTAGGTTAAAAGAATTTATTCTCATAAAAACATAAAGTTCATTTACAATGAGAATACTTACTTACTATTATATATTTATATATTATATGAGTAACGCATCACAAACACGCACTTAAAATAATTTACATGTGTAATCTATAATTGCAATTTTAAAACTCTAATTGCACATTTTTACTCTGTTGTACTCTGTTTGCATCGCATTATAGCATCGGCACCGGCGAAGCTTCGGATATGGTAGGTGCCCGCACGCGGGGCTCGAAGCCGCCCGTGCCGCGCGCCGCCGACTTCATCGAGGTCGCCAGCACCTCTGTTACGCTGCACTTCAAACAGTGGCTCGACGGCGGCTGCTCCATGAGCCACTTCGTCGTGGAGAACAAGAAGAAGTGAGTCCCTCTCTATAGCAGTAGCGCCACCGACTTCATCGAGGTCTGTGCCTGCCTGTCCATGTCTGTCCATATGTCTCCCTAAGGAGATTAGCACATGACATGGGGCACAGTGCGGGTAGGTGGGTGCTAACTTACCAACCGAGACCAACGGCTTAACGTGCCTTCCGAAACACGGAGGAGATCAAGACTCAGTAGATTCGACAGTCAAGACGCAAGAAGGATGGTACAGCTCTGGTTTCCTAGGATATCGGTGCAGTCATATAGCGGTCGTAATATTACGGACGCTAAAAGAACTAAAGAAGAATTACCGCTGTAGGAAATCGCGCCATTTTGTATACATAGACAACGTTCTATTGACATCATTAACAGCAATATTACGGCGCTATATGACGGCACTGCTTTCTTAGTAAATTAGAGGTGTACGCAGTCTGGCGTTGCAGTACTTATATACAAGCTATCTCAATTCCTTAATGACGTATCGTGTTCGTTATATACTACGTCCTACCTAGCTTGAGACTCTCACACGGAATTTATTAATTTATTTATATTTTTTCTTCAGGGGCGCGGTGGAATGGAATCAGATTTCTAACAACGTAAAACCAGCCAGCAACTTCGTTGTTCTTGGTATTTATATTTTCTTTTCTCACTTCCCTTTCCTTTTTGGATAACGACAATGAACCGTAGTCATATTAGAGTGTTATTTTTTTTCCAGATCTGGAACCAGCGACTTGGTATGTTTTGAGAATCACGGCCCACAACAATGCAGGATTTAATGTCGCAGAATATGAAGTTGCAACCCTGACCGTCACTGGTGGTGAGTTTCAATGTGTACTTCTTTCTTATAGTTAAATAATAAATGTACCTACTTATATACTCGGCGGGATGAGTACTAAAAGGGAGACTAAAGTTGTTATGGATACATTATGAAACATGATATGGAGAACGGTAATTCCGATGACGTCAGCGGCACAGATTCATCGTCATTTCTTAAAATTCAATCTCAATTTGCAAATCTGCGTGTCAGGAATGGTTCAAATGAAATTACGACCACTTGACTTTGTCTGCTATTATTGTTCAACATATTTATTAATCGTATTATTTGACATTATGGCAGAATTTCGCCCACTTTCAAATATTACTCTGGATGTTAACGACTAGAACCTTGAAGACCAATAATATTTAGGTGATTATCAATATCAAACACATGATCACTTTCTACAATATTTTGTATTTTTTGTTTGCTAAGTAAATACTTCCTACTATAGAACAAAAAAAGAGATGTCTATGTTCTGTGGTAACAACGTTGTGCTGTTTTATAATTGTTAATTTTGTTTTTCACCAGCAATGTAAATAAATTACTGATGACTACATTATTATCACTTAAATAAAAAAAAATATACATCATAAGTGTCTAGAGATAAACTTGAGTTAATTTTCTATAATATACAGAAACTGAAAATTTTCGTTTTTGTTAAAATATCCCCTATATTTTAACAAAAACGAAAATTTCACGTTACTAAATGAAATACATACTAAAATAATAGCAAAACTTTACTTGATCGTTACGACACTTTTGATTTGTATGTTTTATAGTTTTGTTTTCGTTTTTTTTTTGTTGTTTTACACTGACTAATGAGTCGTACCTGAAATGCATTCGCCTCATTTTCTAATACGTATTCTTAAATAAGCATCACCGTTATACTGGCACTCTCCGTGGCTATTCGTATTTGCCTTATCTAAATCGACAGCAATCTCTTCTTTTCATCCTCAATAGAGTATGTTAAAGATATATTGCTGCCAAATTTATTTAAGCAAATTTATATGAATAGAAATGTAAAGTGTTAGCAATAGTTTTATTCTGAAATTTGCTAACGGCGTCTCGCATTTCAGGTACAATAGCGCCCGCGCGCGAAATCGGAGGTGGCTCACTGACTACCGAACAAACAATCAAGCTGATCCTATCGCACCTCAACCTGATAGTACCAGTAGTGGCCGCCATTCTAGTGATCATTATCGCTATAGTGGTCGTTTGCGTAGTGCGGGGAGCGAGGGATCATCACAAAGGTATTACTTTTAGGCACCATCGCCCCGTTGCCTGGCAACGCGGACGACGACAAAGAACTCCCACCGTGGGTGAGGGCGTGGCTCGAACCGGAAGTGCTCGTACCGATATTGGCGACGATAGTGGTCTTCATAGTTGGTGTGGTGGTCATCTGTCTCACTCTAGCGAGGAGGAATACGCCTCACCGGCTGCGAGGTCAGAAGGACCAGTACTGTATGTATGGCACGGCTCGCCGCTTCATTTTTCTTATTTTAATCTCATTCGGATACCATGTTTTTGATATATTCCAAAGTTGACCGGACAAATTTTTTGGTTGTACTTTTGGTTTTGTGTTAGCATTTTAGAAGTATAAATAGGAAATATATGAGAACATTTAACAGGTTTTTATTATATTCTTACTTAATTTTTTTATTAAATTTTTCCGGTCAGTCTAACTTAACATTACTTTTGTATCAAAATTCATTGTTTACTATGTTTTGCTAAACCACCATTAGTTTTTTTTTAATTGTGTTGGTTACTTTGTTATTCATTAACTAACCCAGTAGTTATTAACGCCAGGTTACGATATCAATTAAGTTTTATTTTGTCTAATACAAAGTTGAATTTATTAACAACATTTCTTCCATGTTTCAAAACAGTCGCGGTGGAACTTACTTCAAATACGAAATCGGCTTCGACAAACGAAGTCATTATGACTAGAATACATTGTTTTCATATTACGATTCGACAGACGACGCTGTATACAACGCATCTCAAGCCGCATTAGGAGGAGGCGGCGGAACTCTGGACAAGCGAGGCGGTCTACGCGACGAACTGGGATACATCGCACCGCCCAACAGGAAACTACCCCCCGTGCCCGGATCTAACTACAACACTTGCGATAGAGTCAAGCGACAAGCCGTTATCAGTGAGTAATGAATCTATAGCGATATAATAAAACTTTATATTGAAGATTCAAATTTCGGAAATTACGGAGAAATTGGAGATACGCCCATATTAAATTCGTCTAAATTCTACTTTTTGGGCCCACGAGTTGACAATTGCCGCTAGGTTAGTTTAAGTAAGTGTGGTGACCTCAAAGCGCGAGCCAAGCGAGCGAAGTGATCGTGCTGCGGCAGCGACCAGCGAAGCGTATATAAGTAAAGGGTCACTCCTGAGCCCAGAAAGTAAAAATCGAACATAAAGGACTGTTTTTTTAGCAGAATAACTAGAAACTGTTTACCTCTTGACTCTTGGTGTGAAGCAAATCTACGTTTTAACTGTTATTTGAAAAAACAGTATCGTGATCATATTTAATCTTCACAAATCAAATAGCTTTCTTAGATTTTTTATAACAGTAAACATGGAAATCTGGAAACAGCGAAGGACAATGCAGCAAATTTACCAGGAACTAATGTTTAAAATATTTTATCTCTTTTCTTCTCTTCAAATATCTATCACTGTCTTTTTTCTTAATTTAAGCTTCGTTTGCACGGCCCTCCTTATTAATGCACATTTTCTCCTTTTTATGTTCTAGATCTATTTATGGTGAAGGCATAATCTAGATTTCCCTACCTTCAGTAATCTACTTGATGTTCCTCGATATTGTTTAACCTTTTGTTATTGAAATGGATATCAAGTGGAATTGTGTTTAATTTATGGCAAAACATAATGCAATAGGGAAGATGCAATATTTTTATTTTTGTTTTCATTTTAAAGAATTCCATGTAGAATAAACCACAGATATATTAAAAAATTAAAACATTGTGATTTATCGGAAAAAATGCGGTTTTAAATTGACAATTTAAATTTTCGCGCGAAAACGAACCTATGGTTGCGATGACGTCACTCCTGTCTGTCACTGGTCGTAATTGTTCGTTGCTGGCTTTAAATTTTCATACTTTTGCATATTTTTTCGACTTTCGAAATATTTTTTTGAAAAATTTTAAATGGACTATCCATCAACATCATGTGATCATAACAATACCACTAATATTCCGAAAAAAAGCCGTGTTGACTCATGTTTTGTGCCAAACTACTTCAACAAAGTTCCCAAATAAATTGTTTTTGACTGGAACTTCTGACCCAAAACTGAAAAAAAAGTGGTTTCAAGCTGCGGAGAGAAATGACAATTATTCACTTTGACGTAAGTCGGCGAATATACTTGTTATATGCTTAATTAATCTGCTTGTACGTAAAAACGCATTAGTAACCTACCTAATACTTACAAAACCTGTCTATAACATATTTTTAATTTTACAGTTGGAGAAGGACGTCGAAAATTAGATAAAGTTTAAAATGTGTGGCACAATCTTCACATTGGGTACGGCCAGAGTGCACTCAGATTCAGATTCAGACTCAGAAAACAAGCGCGAGAAACATACAGTGTAGTTTAAGCAGGTTGCCTGCTGCCACTATGGCCACCCTGCTTAAACTACACTGTTTATTTCTCGCGCTTGTTTTCTGAGTCTGAATCTGAATCTGAGTGCACTCTGGCCGTATCCATTGGCAGGACTGAACCAAGCTTTGTGTTTCATTTAAAATAACTGTAACACGTAACCTTCTTTACGTACTTTATGCTCCGGAGAACTCGACCTTTTACTGTACATAATTTTCCATCTCTTTTAATTTGGACATAGCCGATTGCATTATCGCCGTAAAATTTGTAGAAGCCGCTGAATAAAATACGAAGTTTAACAACTAGGTACGGTTTTTACATACCGTAGTAATTTAGTCCCTTTTATTTCTACACTTAAAAACTCTGCACTTTGGTAAAAAAAAGTTATAACCATGTCAACGCTAACTCTTGGTAAATTCCTGGAGTCTGCTTCGATAAACGCTCCATTAAAATACGCTCAAATATTCCCATAAAATAATATTTACTTTAACAACCATAACCTCAAAGAAGTTGTCATAACAGGACTGACGTCACTAAACGCTGATTGGTGTTGTAAAATACGTTCCGTTTTAAGTATTTTTAATTCGTAATAATTATTAAAAAACAACATTATGTAAAATAAAAACGTTGCAGTGGCATTTCTTTTATATTTTTTTAACATTTTAATCATAAAATTTTCATAAATATTATATATGCATCTTCCCTATTAAGTGTCATCCTTAGCTTATAAATTTTTGTCCCTGTAATTGTTTCTTTTATTCAGCTGTTTATATCCGACAAAACTACAAAAATAAAATGTTATAAATATTTGGTAGTAATGGTGATGGTTGAAAAAAAATGTTTGCATGTTAAAAAAAAACGACGGGTTGCACTCCGGGAGTGCCAGCAGAAGTGAAAACTTGAATATAAACGTTGTGTTGATATTTTGGAATGGTTAGGGAATAATTTTGCACGAATTGCTTTAATTATCAGTATAAAAGTACTATCATTTATATGGTAGAATACAATATTTATTTATTGCACTATCGTACACAAAAGTTTATCACTCTGATAAATCAACTTACATGAATCACATTTAAGCGCACCTAGCGACATCTATTGAAAAAATGCATTTTCTTCGCAATAAAGCTGCCACCAGGACGTCCTAGATAGAGACTTATTATTATAATACGATAAAATATAATAATACTATGTTTCGTCCAATATATCGAAAGTCAACAACCTTTCCAATTTAATTGTTTTCGTCTTACGAATTTTCAATTATTTTTTTATAGGTCACGTGTCCTGACGCGAGTTTAACATTTTTTACCCATACAAAAAAAGTGTACAACGCCGTTAAACAAGTTTTCACTTCAAAAAAAAAACAGAATAAGAATGGAATTTTGTTTTTAATAAATGTGTTTTGTCGCGATATGGACACATATTTTTGTTTCTCGTAGATTGTGTCACGGTAATAATATCGTACAGTATTCTATCTTCATACAAACGGTCGGAAAGCGAGTCATACCTACGCCACTCGAGTTCGAGGCACTCTCGGCGGGGGCACCCAGCGCGAATGCGCCGCCGCGCCGCAACGACGACCGAACGGTGTGAATTATTTTTTATGCAGTTAGCCGTGCTTAAACGTGCGTTTTGTATTGTAAATATTTGATTGAATTAAGTAGATACCTACATAATTTAGTATGGAAAAGAACAAACGACAATCAATATCGTACAACAGCACAATTGCTGTTTTTGGTTGCTTGAACTCTTCAATAACACACCCAGAGATATCATTTTTTAAATTACCTGAAATATTGGGAAGGTGTCTTACCTTTATAAAATATTTTTTGACGTGACAACGTCTTAAATTAGGTTGCGGCTGGGAGTCACTTATGAAAAAGTGTAACGCTCGGTAACGTTACGATGAGTCTCTCGTGTTAAGTTTAAGTTTACATGTACAATGTTTTAGTAAACAAAATATATTTCTATAGTTAAAATTTGTGCAATTCTTATTTTCATTCAATTCCTTGTTCCTATTGTGCAATTTAATTATATTCATATCAATAAATATTCTACCGAGAAAAAGACGTTGTCACGTAAAATCTTCGCCCGTAAAACCGACTTTACAGGCAACCATTTTTTTATATACCTATCTACTAGTACGTAATTTGTTTCTAATATTTAGGTATTTCGATTTTTCCATCGGGCAAAATATCTGGAATAATATATAAATAAGTGGTTAGGATGAAAAAAGAGACAAACGAGTAATCTATAAACTACATAAAATACTGTAGGCGGGCGGCCCTACCGCGTGCTAACGCAGCGCTCGGCCGTAGGCATTTATTTCAAGGACAGGGCGGAGTCACAATACTGTATAGATAATATTACCGTGATTGTGTTGTTACGTTGCTTTCTCTCACTTATCAACTCACGAAATGTCAGATCAGAATAGGTACTCAAGCTTTACGAAATAATGTAGGTATACATCAATATGATGGTGACCAAACTTTATATTATAAATCTAAAGAAAAATTTACTAGAAACAATTCCACGGGATATGAACAAGCACCGGCCGCATTCCGGGCGGAACTTTTTTTCTACTATCTTCTGGCCGAGACTTCTGCTCCGTTAACTTTAGTTTCATGCAAAAAATTTATTATTAGTCCAGGAATTTTAGCACCAAAAATCGGTCCGCTCTGCATAAAATCCTTCTAAGTGATTTTTTGATTGGATTATATCAGAGGGTGCCTAAGTATAAAACCGAGTTTCTGTCGCCCGAAACCGCGAGCGTTAGCCGCCATCTTGGAAACCGTTTTTTTGCATATATCTCGGAAACGGTAAGTTTTACGTTAAAAACCGAAGAGATCTTTTTTGTAGAGAACAAAATTTCCCATCTTTTTTACACCAAACTTTTCCCCCTATTGTTGATATTTTCCGATATATTGAAGTAAAAAAACCAAATTTTTTGTTTTTGTAAAGTATCTCAATAATTTTTGGAGATACGAAAAAAATGTTTGAATGTCTTTTTATGCTTGATTGTATCAGTCTTTGCACACCTTTTTCTTTCACCACTTGTACGTCTTTATCACTTATCAATTTCTCATATATAAAACACGTACTCATTTTAACGGCGTTCCGACTTAAATTACTTACCTTTTGTAAAACAATACTTTACGCGGAGACATCGAATTTACTTATACTTTTTGTTTGCATGCGAGAGTAACGTATTGCCACTTACCGCTGATTTTCATGATCTTTTATTGCGCTAGAACTCAGCAACTAATCATTTTGCAAGAAAAAGTTTTATACAAAATTTGTAGAAAATTTCATGCTCTCCAACTTTAATTCAAACATTTTTTTCGTATCTCCAAAAATTATTGAGTTACTTTACAAAAACAAAAAATTTGGTTTTTTTACTTCAATATATCGGAAAATATCAACAATAGGGGGAAAAGTTTGGTATAAAAAAGATGGGAAATTTTGTTCTCTACAAAAAAGATCTCTTCGGTTTTTAACGTAAAACTTACCGTTTCCGAGATATATGCAAAAAAACGGTTACCAAGATGGCGGCTAACGCTCGCAGTTTCGGGCGACAGAAACTCGGTTTTATACTTGGGGGGCACCCTCCGACATAATCCAATCGAAAAATAACGTAGAAGGATTTTATGCAGAGCGGACATCTAAAAATCTTGGACTATTGGGATCTGACATGGAGGCGTGGCCTATTCAATATGGCGCCGACGGGGGTGCATTTGCCTAGTCAAACCGTGATGAAATACCGTAAAATAGTTAAATATCAATATTAGTGGTAGATAATGATAGTCTTAACAATTAATGATATTTGTGAATGGTCCGGTTCAACGCCCAGTAATCGCAATTTTCGAGAGGGTGAACGACTGGTAGCTGCGAAACATTTATTGAATTGTGGTATACACAAACATTTATTGAATTGTGGTAACTAAACCAAGGAAACTCTTTCATTTTAATGTTGTTGCCGTCCCATTCTTTTCTTAGTGGAATAATAATGAGATCTTGTAAAATGCTACTTCACACATGCTTAACCTCAAAAAACGAATTTGACTCACCTGGTAATATATAGTCGTCTTTCAGAAAATGCAATGAACACACTTTCATGTGAGGATTTATTTTACAGTCAATCTTCAAAGCGTTCTTCCATGCTGTGAATTGGTCCACTTTTTCCATTTGACCAAAATAATTTTTGATGTAAACACAACGCGCATTTTTTTTAGGAAACTTATGAAACGTTAATTCACGGTTTTTTTGAAAACTGCTTCCACATCCATACACACAACACTTTATTCTTTTTTTAGAAATCTTGCGAGGGTTAAATATTCCTAATTCTTCCGTCATTTTTTGTTTAATTTCTCAAAAGTACTAATGACACTAATGATAACTTATGTGTTTTGATGAGCGATGCACCCCGGTATTAGTTCCAAAATTGAACACCAGGTGTCTCACGAATTTTGTCAGATCCCAATATATAATTTGCGCGACTAAGAGATTTAAAACATTTTGTTTTAAGTAATCGTTATGGTTACTTTGTTATAGTTATAAATCTGTGTTAATCTTGTTATTACCATTTGATTAAATTTAAAAAAATACCTTAATTACAAAAATGTTTAGTATTCGTTTCGCATTAGAAAAAAAACGTTCATATCAAGACCGTAAGGGTTACGACCCGTACCCAAAATGACTTGTTATTTTTTAAGTATTTAGTAAGGATATTGAAATCTTCAGAATAGTATCTTTTAGCCGTTGCCCGACAACGAAAAATAAATAATATTAATGGACGACCCCTAAGAAGATTTCTTTGCTACTTAACGTACGTTACGTGTATCACAATTATTCTAATCCTAACTAATATTAGAAATGCTAAAGTGAGTTTGTTTGTTACGCTTTCACGCCTAAACGATTTCGATGAAATTTGGTACGCATATAGTTTATGACCTGAATTGAAACATAAGATACTTTTTATCCCGAAAAAGTGTTAGGTTCCTGAGGGATTTTTAACAAAATAAAGTTAACGCCGACGAAGTCGAAGGCGGCCGCTAGTTTTAATATATTAAAATTAAAAATAAATAAATAAACAAAGTATTATAATTATGTCGACCTACGTGGGTTTGTACGCCGGGTTTCATGGTGTCGCCGACTCGTGAGGTCCCGGGTTCGAATCCCGGTGGGGGCAGATGTTTGTGTGATGAATACGAGCATTTGTACTCCAGTCATGGATGTTTAATATGGATTTATATTTCAATATACTTATACATATATGTACAGTATTTACATATCCTATTTATTATATCCGTTATCCTAGTATCCCATAAAACAAGGTTCAAAGTGCTTACTTTGGGCCTAGGCTAATTGGTGTGAGTGTTGGAAATATTTTTATAATTTATCATCTGACACGTGAGTGAGTCGACAAATGAGAGCTAGGTGATGTGCGCATCGCATGCGTAACGCTGTAGTATGGATGGTTCAGTGGGCGCGCACTCAACGTGGGACCCGCGCCGGCACCACTACGAGCGCGTGCGCCGCCCGCGTATGCGCCGCGCCGGCTCCGGCGACACCGTCTCCATAGGTCAGTGCTTCGCTTCGACGCTTTGTGCCTTGCGCCCCAGTCTTTAAGACACATTATCGTATGCGCTGCTCGAGAGAACCAAAATCTTCGTTCACTTTGGGATAAAACAAAAACACTAACTGAATGAGAAATGTAAAATGATGAACAGAATCATCATCACTACTTTAGTTACCTATTGAATAGAACATATTTGATGCTTTGGCAAAAAAAATATAAATAAACTTAACCATATGCTAATCAATATTTATATAGTACCAGCTGGCCTAGCGAACTTCGTTATATAAAATAGGGTTTGGTGCAGGGCTTGTTTACCGGTTAATTCCTTTTTTTTTTTTTTTTGGGAAGGTGAAAATGCATTTACGCACTTCCTACGACCGTGCCCTGCCGTGGGGGTATGTGGGACTCCACGGGGCATACTTAACGCCGCGCCGCGACTACCCACTAAAAACACCTCCTGCGGTTCCATCTTCACACGATGGGGGAAGGGTATCAGCAAGCCTTTGCCCCAGACCCCAACCGTGAAAGCGCCCTCTCGGACCCTCCTCTTTGCACTAACTCCCCTTGTGTGCATTGGCACGAACCGCGGGACGTTCTGGACTCGACTCGTTGAGGAATCTGTCCGTCTCTCTCTGGGGGCATCATCAGGCAGATTGGCCTGGATAGTATGCCCTAACTCGATGGGAAGCCATTTATAATGCGGGGCTAGTTCTTCCCTCCCGCGGGGCCACCTATGGGGCTACAGTGGCAGCAAAGTTGCGCCTTCTGCGCCCAGTTCGACGGCGTCTCATCGGGGCGGCTGAGGGGTCCACCTCTCGGGACCGCTCCTCTGTCTCCTTTTGGGCCATCACAGTCTCGCAAAATGTTTTTGCGGCGTCCCATGCATTCCTGTCGCCAACGATAGCCCTTACCACCGACGGCAGCGACAAATCGCCCCCAACTGCCCTCATCAACACCGCTCTTTGTTCACTCCAGGCGGGGCACTCAGCCAGAGTGTGCTGAGCTGAGTCATTGGCCGCACCGCACTGGTGACAGATGGTGGTTGGTTCTCTTCTCGCGATGTTGTGCAGATACCTCCCGAAACAGCCGTGTCCGCTGAGTATCTGCACCATACGATAGGAGAGCCCACCACCCCGTCTGCTTAGCCACTCTCTTAAAACAGGACGCACTGCCTCGACAACTCTCACGCCTGCCGTCGGCTCCTCCAATCTGGCCGACCACTTGTCGAGCGCCGTCTCGCTGGCGTCTTCCCTCCAGGCTCGGATTTCCTCGAGCATCGGAACACGATCCTCCGCCTTGGCCTCCGACGATTTGACGTACACGTCTGCGTACACCTCGGCCTCCAGATCCCAAGGGACTGTACCGGCAAGTACGCAGGCGGCCTCGTAGGCGATCGTGCGATAACCTCTGACCATCCTCACCGCCATGACTCTTTGCGCCTGACGTAGCAGGGCCTTGCTGCGGTTGGTGAGACAGCCACTCCAAATCGGCGCTCCATACAGCGCTACCGAACGAACGACGCCAGCAAAGAGACGTCGACATCCAACATCCGGGCCACCAAGGTTCGGCATGAGCCTACTCAAGGCCATCGTTACCCGCCGCAGTTTCGGCGCGAGCTGGACAAAATGGGGTTCAAAACTCCACCGGCTGTCGAGGACGATTCCTAAATACTTTATCGTCGACCCGATACCAATGGAGACTCCGCTCACAACTAATTCCGCCCCCGCCGTTGGCGCTCTACCCCGGCCGTAGAATAGCACTGCCTCTGATTTCTCTAAAGCCACTCTGAGGCCCAATCGCCTGATGCGTCCGACCACATGAGCCACTCCCGCCGTCGCGAGGATGGACGCGGACCTGAGGTCTCTCCCTCGCGCCGTCACCAGGGTGTCATCTGCGTAGCAGAACACGTTGACACCCTGGAGGTTCGATCCTCTTACGACCCAATCGAATCCGATGTTCCACAGGAGCGGGCCCAGTACAGAGCCCTGTGGAACACCTGCCGAAACAACGTGCTCTCCCCATCCCTCTCTGGTCGGAAAAACGACTGTACGCCCCTCCAGATACCTCATCACTGTTTCCCGTAGATAGGACGGTACTCGGTGGTGCTTCATCGCCTCGTTGATGCAGGCGTGCGGGAGAGTGTTGAAAGCGTTCGCGATATCAAGCGACACCGCCAACAACACCCTTCCCTTTGACACCTCCTCCTCGGCAAGGGCCCTCACTCGCGTAATGGCGTCGATGGTGGACCTGCCCCGCCGGAAGCCGAACTGGTTCTCACTAAGATTCGGCCCTTCTGTACCAATGTGAACGAGTATACGTTCTGCCATCACTCGCTCGAAGAGCTTGCCGGCCTCGCATAAAAGTACTATAGGCCTGTAAGCCGATGGCGAGTCTGCCGGTCGCCCGTCCTTCTTGAGAAGCACCAACTTTCCCAATTTCCACCCCTGCGGGAAACGCCTCTGCGTCAGGCACGCGGTAAGTAGGGCGCGGAAGCGGGGTTCCAGGCCATTGTCTAGGGCCATCACCCAGACTTTGCCGGGGATGCCATCCGGTCCCGGGGCTGTATTTTTCCCTCGCAGCTTATCAATGGCCGCTGTCATCTCCGCTTCAGTCACCTCCGGAACTACATCGCCTGCCTCCTCACTCTGTGACCCCGAAGTAGTGATGGGAGGCGTGATCTCCTGGTAGGGGGGGAACAGCGCTAGCATGGTTCTCCGGAGCGTCTCGGGATCCAACGTGGATGTTAGTGGTGGAGCCCATGGGCGAAGTTTTCTCATTACCAGCCGATAGGGGCGATCCCATGGATCCCGGTCCAGTGTACCAAGCAGTTCGACCCACGCCCTCTCTTTTGATGCGGCGATTTCTGCTCTTAGAGCCTTCTTGGCCTGCTGGTATTCTTCGTAGAGTCGTTGTTCCTCATCCTCGTCATTGCGCCTGTTACGCCTGCGGTATCGCGCGTGGAAGCGCCTGGCCACTCTGCAGATATCCCGAAGACGCGTCAACTCCTCAGACCACCAGTATATCTGTCTGCGCGGAGGGACAACGCGGACCCTTGGCAAAGCAACGTCGCAGATATGCGTCATCGCCTCGCCAAGCCGGGTCGCTTCATGGTCAACCGCCGCAACATCCTCAGGCTCCGGGTTCCAGGACTCTACCAAGGACGCCGACACGAGCGCGTCCTTATCCAGCTGTTTGAGGGCCCACCTGGGACCGAACTCCCTAGGGGCGCGATTTAGGCCAACCGGGGCATGCGCAGAGGGAAGAACATGGTATCGGATGTACAGATGATCCGATAGCGTCTCCTCCCCCGCGACGACCTCCCAGTCTTGAACACGGCGTGCCAAGAGCGGGCTTGCGAACGAAACATCCACTATCGAGCCGCCCTGTCTCCGCACACACGTGTTGACCGTACCTCTGTTGAGACAGACCAAACCATTGACCGCCAACCACTCTTCAAGCATTTCGCCCCGCGCGTCTGTAACCCTAGCACCCCAAACAGCTGACTTGGCGTTAAAGTCGCCGGCGATTATCACCTCGTGTGGGCGGCACCAAACAAGCAGCGAGTCCAAATCTGCCAAGAGTTGTTGAAAATCAACAACAGGGCGGTTGGGCGAGAAATAGACGGACACTATTATGATATCCCCACACAACACCGCAGCGAAACCACTCCCTCTGGTTGATCTGCCGAGCGCCGGGGCTGCCATCCTCCCATTCACTACCACAGCTGCCACGCCATCGTGGTCTCCGAACCAATCATCCCTATCCAGAACAACATATGGTTCGGAGACAATTAAAACTTGTGAGGACCACCGTGCCGCGGTTTGCAGGAGAATGTCCTGGGCCCTGGCGCAGTGGTTGATGTTCGCCTGTAGAAGTGAGAGGGCCATATTAATCAACGGGCTCCATCTGAACTTCTGTAGTCACCCCGTCCGTCGGGTGGCTCGGCTGCGCAGGTGCAGCTTTGCTCCTTCTAGAGACCTTATGTTTGGGGGCCGAACAGGACTTACTCCCCAAGCGGTGACTTGCCGTTTTACCGGCACCTGCACATAACGCGCAATGCGGCGCTGACTCGCAGACCGAGGCTAGGTGCCCAATCTGACCGCACCGGTAGCACATCCGGCTGCGATCAACGTCCGAGTCGCATTGGTGCCTCAAGTGACCTGTTTCAAGGCACCTGAAGCATCTCATCCCCCTAGGTTCTAGTAATTTAGCCTTCGCCACCGTAAAGCCGATAAGCAGCTTCTCTGTTGTTGCTTTCTTGGCGACTGCCACCGGGCAACTGACCCATGCCGATCCCATCGAGAAACGTCCCTGCCGAATGGTGCCAACACGGACTTGGTCTACTTGGCAGCCGCCAATCCTCGCAATAGTCTGCGCCAACTCGACAACGGTGACTGATTCGTCAAGCCCCGTCACCATAATCTCCGCGGTCTTGATCGGGCGGGATACTTTGACGGTTTCCGGGTTCAGTATCTGTCTCAGGCGGTCGGCCATAGCGTCAGCTTTCTCCTCATTGTTGTTTGTCCCGGAAATTTCCAGGACCATAGCTCCCGTTAAGGATTTCCGGAAGCGGACTCCTTCTATCCCTAGCTCGGTAACGCTGATCTTCGCCTTTGCTTCCGCTATGACCAAACCATAGGTCACGCCTTTTTCGATGGCCTCAGGTGTTAGAGTGAGGACCACCGCCGCCGACTTGGGTGCTCGCAGCTTAGGCAGCCGAGGAGCGACATTCCGGCCCTGCGTTGGCTGTGTAGATTGAGTAGCCGCCCCCTTCTTCCCCCTTTTCACAACGGTGTTCCACCCTTTATCCGCATTGGCTGGAGCTGGGGGGAGCGGTTGAGATTCTTCCCTAGTCGGCGCTGATTCCCTTATCGCCGCCCCGTTAGATTTCTTGGTCTTGCGCCGCCGTCTCTTTTTATCGATCGCCCCCTGTGCGTGCACTGTTTCCTCTGCATTAGGATCTCGCCGTTTTGCATCGGGGTTTCCCTGGTCCCTTCCTTTGGCCACATCTACCGCTGTAGTATTTGTGGCGGATGTTCTCTCAGCCGCGTTACGCTCGTGCTGCAGCAGCGGGCGCAACCGCGGCTCCGGGTTGAGCCTGGGTTCCAGCCCTTCAAATCTTGCGTTCAGCCGCGCGTTTAATCGGCCCATCAATTTTAGCTCGAGCTCCTCCAAGTCGGGGGCCGAACGCGTCACCTCCGTGTTGGGAGCTGGATTTGCAGCGTTCCTTTGGAGATTTTTTATGATCTCCTCCAGCTCCGAGATCTTGTCCTGCTGTTTCTTCAACTGCGCCTCAAGACGGGCGTTCGCTGCTTGCAGCTGGGTCGTCTCTTCCGTGATGCTACGTTCCGCGAGGAAGTTCGCGTACTCTCTTATGTCCTCGACAGCATCGTTAAGCTTCTTGACGAATGTCCCTTTGAGTCTTTGGGACTTCGTCGCCACAAACTTTACGATGTTGAGAGATGTTTTGAGACGGGCAGCGACCGAATGAGTGGTTTCCGCCGCCAACTTGTCGTCTTCCTTCATTATTGTGAGTGCAGAGCATGAAGCCGATCGAGTCATCCTTGGCTCAGTGGCCATTTCTGCTAGCTCCCTTTCGGCCCTTAGTCGTATCTCCTCTTTTTCCATCTTTAAATATTTGGCCTTGGCTTTCGCCAGGCCGACATATTCGCCAGTTGTGGGAGGCCGGCCTCTGCCTCTCTTACCACGGGTGCTGGACATAGTCACGGGAGCTGCTCCGGTGGCTTCATCGCTGGATGGGCTTGATGATCCCTCGCTCAGTCTCCTCTTCCTCCACATCTTTGACGCAGAGCTTTCATCACTCGAGTTCGAGCGCGACTGCACCATGACGAGGGTGCCCGTCGAACTGTCGGACATCGCCACGTCCTCACTCCCACACGCCTCGGTAACAAATTTAACACTCGCCGACCCGGATATCGACGAGCGCCCGGTCCCAACGGGGTCACATGGGTCTCCCACCAATGCCTCGGTTACAGATTTAACACCAGCCGGCCCGGATACCGACTGGCGCCCGCTCCTCTCGACGGGATCGCATGAGGAATTATGTCGAGTAGTTCGACCGACCCCAGAATACACCGGTTGCCCGCAGCCGCCTTCCGCGGTCCTACGGGGGGGATTAGTACCCCCTGGGGTAATAGTATTTTTGCTCGAACTCATCATCATAAAATTTCCCATTTTAAGGGATGGGTCCCTGCTCCACTCACGACTCTGATTTTAATTGAGGTTTACTCCTCTTGGCTCGACGCTCAGTGAGCCGGACCGCCGGTCCGCTCAGTGCGGGTAACGGGTTGCCCGACGGGGCCCTGTCATACAGGATTCCCCGCTACGCAAGCCACAAAGTGGCGAAGATACGCGGCCTTGCAGGCCTGCCATCCACCGCCCGAAGGCCAATGAGCAATGAATGCCCCCCAACAAAGCGAGACAGAACGCCGACCACCAGCGAAATGCCGAAGCACCACACCAACAGGAACCGCAAATGCGGCCCGCGCACCTTGAAGGCGCCATCCTCCGAGCCCGACTCTACGGCTCCACTTGTCAGACCATTAGCCGCCGGCGAGCATGGATTCCGCTCAAGCCGACGTTGCCCAGGGTGCACCGCGAGGAGGTTGTCCGACCTAGCACCCCTACCGGTTAATTCCTAACCTAACCTAAATCAGTGTCGAGTACATTAGGAGCGTTTTATTCAGGTTTGGCTCTACCTTAACCTAAAAAAAAACGGTTTTCTTAAAAAGCGAAATCAAATAGGTTTTGAATCAATTTAGCGGTTTTTAAAGGGTTTCATTTCGCTCTTACTGACGGCATCGCTAATAAATGAATAACTTGACTTACTAGACGCTAGCAAATGTGTCAATAAATGCATCAATCTCTGAGCATTAACAAGTTGTGACTTGATTAGTTCAAACAAAACAAACTTCAAGCGATGCCGACGCGAGCACGTGTCGCTCTGGATTAAACCGGTTTATTAAGGTTTTAGGTACCGCTCTCATTACGGACGCGCTCCGAACGAAACCTTTACTAAAAACCGGTATTAACCTTTATTTTGAACTGTCTCCTTCTTTGGGTATCTATTCAAAGGTCTTTAGTTCGCGACAAGCTCTCTTTTAAGAGACGGTAGGTAGTGTGCATAAAATTACACTACATTTTCTATTCTTAAATTATATTACATACGGTTTAATAATAAGTTAGACACAAGTAGAATTATTTGTAATCGATCGATAAACAAATCACTTTAATCCAAGGAAATTAATATTGTTGCTTTAATCATGAAAATGTCATTATCATCCAATGACTAAGGAGCTGTTTTGTATTATCCCAAGTCAAAAATTAATTATTATGCTTGAGCATGTTTTACAATTATATTAGAATTTCAGCGTTAATTCCTAATCTTTATATCTTCTCTTCTGTCTTCAATGCGACATAAAAAATTATAAAAGTTGTATGATATTGAAATATTTGGATATTTGTAAACAAGACATTTTGTAAATGAATTATACTTGAAATGTGTTGAACTGAAGTGTGGTACTAACATTGCCTGCTGACATGGTAAGTATTAAAGTGAGTTACAAATAACTGTTTGTGCTTATTTTCTAACCCCCCGTTTTATTATTTTGCATTTTTCTGTTATTATGATATTTTTTCCTAAACTTTAAGAAAAAGTACTTCCTTGATATTTTGAAAGAATTGTTATTAATTTTGGTATTAAATACTCGTACGATACGGATTTGTAGAGGAGAATATATGAATTTCATAATTATAATTACATGAAATTAACCGAAAACAGTAAAACACCTAGTACAAACAAAATAATTTATATCACATAGAATTTTCTTCAACGATTTACCTGTGAACATTATGCAAATTGATAGTAAAAACTGTATAGTTTAACTACACAAGGTCTTAAGTAATTAAGAGAATTCAAAATGTATAAATAGCTGTATGAATGTTTGAGTAAGCGGATGGGTCGTCTCGTCGCCCTCAATTCAGGTATAACGGTGCAGTGTTAACACGATATCACTCACATCGGCATGTTAAATTTTCATTGGACACTAGTCTTCCTAACATGGGGCTACTAACCGAAAACTAAAATTACTAATGAATCCAAGACCAATGCAACAATTACTAACTTGTCAGTGAAATATAAAGTTAAATTAATCTCTTTACTCTCTGAAGTTTTACCGTTAATTTAGTGAAAAGTTTTGCAAGCATGCTTTGGTGTGCAAAAATATAAGATAAATTACTAAAACTTAGAGTTATTTATATTACTTGGTTAGTAAGTAGTTTTCTATTTAAAAAGTATGGCATAACGGCCACCTGACGATAAGAAGCCAAAACACCATAATAATACGATGGATGCGATTTATCGACACTTAATTAGAACTGCCAAAACCAATCATATTTCGATAGTGACATTATATCATGTTGTTTGTGACGTGGGTATAACTGCGAAGCCGTGGCTTCTCGAAGGGCTCGCACATAATAATTAATATTGTCACCCCTTGTTTATCTAGCACGCGCCCCCCTGGATAACTCGGATCCTATGTATAACATTGTATATTTCTTCCTTAGGGTGCTTATACACGGTGCAAGTAACTTGCGCAGGTTATATGCATCGTGAAATCACCGTGCAAAGACATGTGCGCAAGCACGACTTGGCAGGTTTATAACTTGTGCGTACTGCATGCGCAAGTAGCCCTTGTCTTTACTTGCTCAAGTCATTTACAGCCTGTACAAGAATAAGCAAGTAGCTGGTGCACACTACTCACGCGAGTAACCCGCGTCTTTACTTGCTCCAGCTACTTGAACCGTGTAGAGGCACCCTTACCTATCGTAAAACAGCATAACAGAAGGGGTTAAGTGTGAATTTATTCCCGGGTTTCCCGGGTTCGAATCCCCGTGGGGGCAAATGTTTGTGTGATGAATACGAGCATTTGTACTCCAGTCATGGATGTTTAATATGTATTTCTATATAAATATACTTATATATGTACATTATATGTATTGTATCCGTTACCCTAGTATCCCATAACACAAGCCTTATAATGCGATTCAACTAAGAATAGGACCGACAGAGCGCCATATTGTGATGTCATAACTGTTAATTCAAACCAAATAGGTAGAGTGAGCAAAAAAAAGTTTTTATTTAATAAAACTGATTTACTAAGATTAAGTGAGAAGAAACATCAGATTTTTTTAATAACATTTATTTACTAAGATTGAGAAAAAAAACACCGATTTTTAATAATATTTATTTATTAAGACTGTGAGAAAAAACAATAACCAGAATCTAGCTCTTCTATTCCGCTCATCTCTGCTTTACAGCCGGAGTAGTTATGAATAATCATGCACTATTACTAGGTCACATACGAACATGCATCCTTTATGTAAACGAAAGTTTGAAATCGAGTTTCTGAACGCAACTTAAAGTGACATTTGGTTGACGATTTAGGTATCAACCATTCATGGCCAAAGCTCAATAAGTAAAAAAAATATCAACCGATATTAATTAACAATATTTGTTATTGTTTGTTCACAAATGTTTGGCTTTTATTCTTGAATTAGCGGAGTGCTAAAAAAAGGTTCCAAGGTTTTTTTTGCAAAACTGTACTTTTCAAGCGACATTTGACAGATAGAGGTCATTGGCTTTCCTATTCTTATTTGAATCGCATTATATAGTGCTCACTTTGGGGCTAGACTAATTGGTGTGAGTGTTGGAAATATTTATTTATAACGGCGCAGGCATGGAGGACGAGATCTGCCCTTACGCCACGTTCCACCTGCTGGGCTTCCGCGAGGAGATGGACCCCAGCAAGGCGCTCGCGTTCCCCCACCACCACGCCGCGCACGCGGGCACGCTCGCGCACCCTCATCCCCACCACCCGGCGCACTCCCGCGCCGGCTCGCAGAGTATGGTCAGTATCAGGCCGGCCGTATTTACTCAATACTCAATGTTTTATTGTGTTCCATAAGACACGAGATGTTTATATCTAAAGAAAAGTTTACTAGAAAAAAAAACCACACGGACCAGGCAGCAGACGGGACTCGAACCCTTCGCTATCCGGGTCAATGCACTGACCATTATGCTACCGCGGCCCTAGGGCCCTAGAGCCGCGGAAGCATAATGGTCAGTGCATTCAGAAAAGTTTACTAGAAGAAAATACACAGTGCATTCGCCCGGATAGCGAAGAGTTCGAGTCCCGTCTGCTGTCTAATCCGCGTGTTTTTTTTTCTAATATACTTTCCGTTTGATATAAACATCTAGCAGTTAAATGTTTAAAAAAATAAAAACATAACAACATGAGATATTACAATTTTATGCAGAATTAAGGACCCTGCCGGGCCCAACAATCAATTAATTACAGAGGCAGAGTGACTGACCTATGATTACATAAACGCTCATTATTTTCAATCACGTAACTATAAAATTTATTACATTTTATTTGATTCTATAAAATCACGAATGTTATTCCATGTGTTGTCAACAGATGTCGATACTGTTTATTATTTTATCTTGTTCGGTTTATTTTTTTATTTAAATTTATAATTTTACATGTTTTAATTTATTATAGATTTTCCATACCTCAGTTATTAAAAAAAAATGAAATTTTAACACACACAATTTGTGAATTAAATGAGTTTCAGCGGCCATAAAATTTTTTTAGTTTATCCTGATGTCACACTGTTAATTTTGTTTACTATTTTAACATATTTGAACTGTACTTAAATACCAAATAATTTTCTATTATTGTTGAATTATACTTATTTAACTATTTTAAAACGAAATAATAACACAGATCCATATTCTGCATATTGCTTCACATCTACTCTCTCTCTCTCTCACTCCGAGGCTCCGAGGAATATGGGTAACTCACAAAAAAACAAGGTTCATGGTTTTGCTAGACCCAACGTAAGCGATGCCTTGAAAACCAGCGCAAATACTACTGCACCACGAAGGTCGCCATGTCAGTGCTACTAGTTTTAGACATGAACCATCATCATCAGAAAATTGAAAGAAATGAACCATCAGGATGGGATAGGAAGAAAAGGGCCTTGAATCACCCCACGCACTACGTGCGGATTGGTGGATGCTAACGAATGATGCAAGCAGTGGCTTAGTGTGCCTTCGATAATATTTTTTTTATCACCTATCATGGCCGTTAGCAAAATTGCGTACGTAAATACCACGTTAGGGTTTAAGAAGTGACAGATTTCCAGTCCTACGCTTACAACAGTTTCCAAATATAACTGCCCTGTCAATTAATGATCTTCTACTATCTGTAGTAGACAACTTTAGCAGCAATCCAACTTGGGAGGTAATTACATTTTTAAGGTGTCGCCTACTCGTGGCGTCCGAGGTTCGGCTCCCGGTGAGGAAAATTTAAGTATTATGAATAGGAGCATTTGTATCTAAGTTCATGGATGTTTATATGTATTTCTAATTAAAATATATTTATAAACCGTTTTTATAGTATCCTATAACACAAGCGTTTCAGTGCTAGGAGCTAGGCGGTTAATTGGTGCGAGTGTTAGAAATATTTATTTCTATTTTTATTATCACAGCCTCGCGCTAACAGCCGCTACGCTCGCAAGAATTCGCAGGGAGGACAAAGCGCCATCTACTCCACCGCCCCCGAATACGACGACCCGGCCACCTGCGCTGAAGAGGATCAATACGTGAGTTTACTCTTATTCAGGCGCGGTCCGAAGGGGGGGGGGTCACAGGGGACATGACCCCCCCCCCCCAAATCTAAGGTCAAATTGAAAAATCTCAATTTGCCAAATAATAAAAGGAAATAACTATGTAGCTATCTCCTAACAGCGATAAATTTATAGTTTGCTGACATCTAGTGGTGTTTTTATGAACTACGTACGATGGCCAAAATAACTTGAAAATGACATAGTTTAGAAACAAGGAACCGAACTACGTAGTTTTGGTAATCCTAGCAAAATCGATATGCGTCGTTATGATAAAGATTGTATAACAATATTCTAATAATGTAATTTGTCGGTTTACTATAAAGATTCAAGATAAAGGCTGTCTACTTAGTTAAAAACGTGGTTGAGAGTTAACATGTTAGAAGAGCGATTAACAGATTTAGCTCTTCTAAACATTCACCTGGAAATAGTACCAGACGTCTCAAATATTATCAAACAATTCGCAAATACAAAAAAAGACGACTTCCACTTGATTTTATATAAAATAAAATTGTGTCTTGTGCAATAATGTTTATTTTATTCGAAATACCTATTTTTAGGGTTCCGTACCTCAAAAGGAAAAAACGGAACCCTTATAGGATCACTTTGTTGTCCGTCCGTCCGTCTGTCAAGACCGTTGTTCTCAGGAACGCGTGGAGGTATCAAATTGTAATTCATATCTAATACTCAGGTCTACTGTCCCGTAGAGTTGTGAAAAAATCAAACTTCTAAGCCAAAGCAATCAAAAGATACAGCCGTTTATGCCGCAAATTTTAGAAACTCGCACGGGAATCAAAACCTACAGGCGTGCTACAGCGTACTTCCCGTGAACTTAGAATCTTGAAAGGAGATTGCTCAAATTGGCCCAATTGCACAAAAAAATTTCACATACACGGTAATTCTTGGCGTAATTTATAATTTAATTTACAGTATTAGATTGCAACGGACACCTTTGTATAATATATTTACTTTAAAAAGGACTTTTAATTTTACCGGTTTAGAAAACATACGAATCATTTTTAATGGCTATGGGTGTAGTAATATTCAGCCAAAGATTGATCGAAGTTGTTTATATAACATAAAAACAAATCTATTTTGTAAAGATCGCTAAAATAAATCATTTTTTTATTACACTGTACCACAGTGTAATAAAAAAAATGATTTATTTTATTAATATCCACAACTATATTATCATTTTCACTAGATGCAAATGTGCTCAGACAATTATTATAGATGGTAGGCGACATCATAAAGTCTATTGCCATACATTTTTCGCCAAATACCTCCATAAACACATTATAATCTGGTGTGATACACTAAAAATCTAAAATATGGTTATCTTAAAAACATAACAAAAATAATGAAGCTACTGAATATATGACTATAGAACCTAAATCTCTTAGCTTTCTTTGGTTAACGAGAGTTTAAAAATTCTCTCTAATCTGTGGCTCATTCACAATCATCACACAGTTTTTGTCACAGAGTACCTTATTATAACCGGAAATAACACCTGATTTTAAAAGTTAGTCTTAAGCATTAACTTTAAAAACAGGCAACTATCTGTTAATCTACATGCTCTATATACCTGAATCTAATCCATAATTTCGGTACTTGGCTTGATTTCCCTAGTTTACTATACAACTTATTTGTTTTTTATTATTTTAATATGTTCAGTGTATATGGTTTATAGAAGTTCTCAGGGGTGTCCGTCAATAATATTCGTTTCTACAGTAATTTATATACAATTTCGAATCTAGGAAACAATTTTTCATGATTATTTGTCTTTAGGCCAAACATGTATGGAAGCTGAGCAATCTCCTTTGGTATAAAGTAACTTCTTACAGGACAGATAAAGGGAAAATTGTGAAAACCGAAATTTTTTAGTAACATCACATAATAAAATTTTTTTTGAAAATTCTGGTGTGTACGGAACCGTCGGTGCGCGAGTTCGACTCGCACTTGGCCGGTTTTTTTTATTAGTGTAGTAAGTGACCCCCTCCAAAATTTCATGCTGCGACCGCGCCTGCTCTTATTATTACTTGAGTCTTATTTTAACTATCACAATATCTTAAAACAATGCTCAAAACGTTATATTCTATTATAATTTATGTTAATTACATTCATAACATCAAGAATAACAGTGACACAGTTGTCCTTGCATATTCATAATGCAGAAATTTAGGCAGCTACCTAAGGCCTGGTGGGATCCGTTCCGCAGATTACATACATACAGCCGACGAATTTCCGTTATCGTTTAAATATGGTCGTTGTTATCTGGACTGGAGATTATTCAGGCAGCCTCAGGAAAAAGGGAGTCAATCCTCTTCATAGTATCAAGGTCCCCATAGCACCTAGAAAACAAAGGGCAGCACCTTAATAATTGTTCCTGGACTTCGCAAGACGACCCCAACGGCCAAAATTTATATAGGAATTTTACAGAATGGCTTTACATAATGCTTACATTAAACTTTTAGAAAAAAGAACATTATTAAAACTGTTATTAAGCCTAGACAATAATGAAAACTCACCCCAGCGACAATTAATGTAGAATTCGCAGAATTCACAATAAAAATTTAGCTCGAGACCGGGGCGGCACGGCCGTGCTCAATGATTGTGTGGTTGTGATTAAAACTTCGAACGGGGCAATGACTGTCCAACGGAATTTTTCTCATGTTAGGCCGTTTGTCCACCGCCGCCTTCACCGTCACGTTACCGAGAACGAGATTATTTCGGGCCGAGTTTAGTATGACGTAACGGCGATAGTTTGTCCACCGCGACCGATGGTTTAGTTTGTTCCAACTGGCATGCGTGGCAGTCGCGTTTTCGAAGAAATTAAGTGATGGCTAGGTTAAACCGGTGACAACTTCTTCTCTTGCTTTTGTACCTTCGAAGGCGCAGGCGATGCAAAGAATTTTTATTACAATGATATATTATGATAATTGATGACAGACAACTGAACTGAGCTCGTGTACGGTGCGACGGCGACGGTAGTGTGTGGACAAGTTCATACGTGTTTTGTATTGCCGGCACATCGGCCCGTCAAAATCTCGGGCCACGTTCTAGCGGTCACGCCGATCTACTCGCAATTTCGCCGGCCGGGATCACAGCGCTCGGGTGACGGATGTGCGGTGGACACGCGGCTTAAGTAAATGTATGTACCGCTACTTCGGCGCCGTCATCTCGTTCTCGGTGACGTGACGGTGACGGCGGCGGTGGACAAACAGCCTTACGCTCCGCACCTTATTATGTAAACAAATCATTTAACGCGCACTGGTTCAGTAGCTGGACCGTACTTAGATTTTCTACTATTTTTTGTATTTAATGTTTTTAGATTAAGATATAGGTCGCCACAATAAGAGCCACTAGTGGCGGCCACTAAATGCGTCGACAAGCTGCAGTCGAGTTAAATACATTTTCTAAAGTATCGGCACAAACTAAGCGCTCGAGTGGCCGCCACTAAGCCATACTAGCAGCGGCGATCGGTGGCTGCGTCTAGTGGCTTGATTAAGCCACTAGTAGCCGTGTTTAGTGGCCGCGACAAGTGCCTCAATGTGCGCTTCCTTTAAAGGAGAAATCGTTGAATGTATATTAATATTGTTCAGCGCGCCCGCTATTCCCGGCCAATGTACGCGTGCGGTCCCGAGTACGACGAGCCCGCGTGCTGCGCGCCCGAGGACGAACAATACGCCGGCGCGTACGGCACCCCTTACTCTGACCACTACGGATCCCGCCCCAGCATCGGTGAGCAATATGGAACCCTAGCTATATTGAACGCGCGCCCGAGGACGAACAATACGCCGGCGCGTACGGCACCCCTTACTCTGACCACTACGGATCCCGCCCCAGCATCGGTGAGTAATATGGAACCCTAGCTATATTGAACGCGCGCCCGAGGACGAACAATACGCGGGCACGTACGGCACCCCCTACTCTGACCACTACGGATCCCGCCCCAGCATCGGTGAGCAATATGGAACCCTAGCTATATTGAACGCGCGCCCGAGGACGAACAATACGCCGGCGCGTACGGCACCCCCTATTCTAACCACTACGGATCTCGCCCCAGCATCGGTGAGCAATATGGAACCTTAGTTTAAAGTAATATTTAAGCAGTCGATTTTTCGATTTTTTAAATTTACCTTATTTTAGTATTATAGTGAAACATTTAAAGCGTTTCCAAGGAGGTTAGACTTATAGAATTTATAAAATAACCGTACAGGATACGCACGGTACCATGTATGGGAGCGTGCGGTAATACGTTTTACCGCACGCACCGTTGTATGGCCCGAAATTTTAAATTTTCGAACAATGTATACAATTTCCGTAAATGCATTTTTTGAGCAAATGTGTTGAAAATGATATTTCTGTACCAGGAACACGTAAATGCGGATCCCCCGAGCCTCCTCCGCCGCCGCCACGTAACGCGAACAACGACAACAACTGCTCATCCTCATTCAACGAGAGCAAGGACTCCAACGAAATCTCCGAAGCCGAATGCGACCAACCCCGCAACTATCCCGGTACGTAACCATCACGATAGAGTTTCACATCTATCTATTGAGTTATATTTACATTCATCATAATCAGTACAGTTTAAATTAAATCACCATTTAACAAACATAATTTTTCATATTTTCATCTACACATAATATTTTGCAACATCGAATTTGTTTTTAATATGAAAACCGCATTAGGATTTTTATGGACTTTTATATGATATTTACTTGTCAAGTGTCTAAATTAAGACTTTTTCAATTATTCACAAAATTACAAGTACAAAAAAAATCAAATAAAACTAGCGTAGATTCTATTACTAAATAGTCGATTTCATAACTACTTAAGAAAAACTATCAATTTTAATAAAATAATCCTTTTATTTTACATCAAATTTTACATGAAAAATTAAACTATAATTATAGATTTCTTACTAATGCGCCGTAATTTTCAGTTTAAAAATAGTCTATATATGGCTGAATTTTTACGCTTTCAATTAACTATTTTGTTTATTCTATTGATTTTGTTCTGCTAACAGATAAGATAATACAAAATCGTTAATTTATTTTTTAAAGGCTTTTAGCTTACTGTATATCAGGAAAAAGATCATTCATTAAATGCTTATTTCCATTGGCCAGCATAACGTATTGGTTATTATTATTGATTACTATTTTATGTTACACAATATATCATTAGTACATGAAACCGCGCTTGTATTGTTTTTGGCAAAGCCTTTGATTTTGAAGATGCACAAGCTTCAGGCATTCACGGAATTCGAGCGAACATTTTCAGTTTGCAGCTTTTATAGTATCGAGACCACGATAGAGAATAGGTACAAAGGACATTGTTCTGCGTCCATACATAGTCAGCCTAAGAACCAACAATCATGAAATATTATTTTCTAGGTTCGAAATCGCAAGTAAATGACTGATAAAACAAAGATTATTGACGGACACTTCCGAGCACTTAAATTATTAGGAAAACTAAATTTTTTTTGAGGTTATATTTAATATTCAATGAAACATAGGTCAACCTATGAACTCAGTATGAACTCGGTATGAAGTGAATTAATATTACAACTAATTCATTTTATTCGGTGCAATTTTAAAGAATAACTATTAGGAAAAACTTGGTTAGGTAGGAATCATGTACAAAATAAAAACTGTAGTTTTGCTTCTTATTTATTGACTATTTTTTTACATAATTGTATCATGTTGTATTTATTTGTATATCACATGTATATATTGTGTAAATATGCAGCGTGAATGTGTATCAGGTGCTCTTGAATAATTTGGCAGTATGATCCTCTCAGGATGTTGTGGCACAGGTTCACTAGCACTTGAGGTATCTGCTCTTTGGCAACATCGATAGCATATTAGATAGCCGAAAGAGTTAAATTAAAGGAAAAACAATCGCAAATAAAAACACACAACAGGTAATCCGAAACGAGAATGCACGAATGCCACAGATTACTACGAATGCAAACTGCCTGCACCACAACCACAAAGTATCGAGTTTTATGCCCTTTTAGGCCCTTCAATTGACAACAGTTTGTCCTTATAATGCTTAATAAGGAATGAAAAGGACAGACTGATGTCATGTTTTAAATAGCAAATACGAATAGCCAAGTGAAGTGCCGGCTTTAGGAAGAAAGAGTGTTTGTTTGCAGCGCTGTCATATTTTTTTACATATAAAATGGTATTTATGGTCTCAGATAATTTTTTTACTTTTTAATTTAGCTTAATTAACTGGAAGTGTCCGTCACAATCTAAATATTGATAATTATCGCAAAAAATATACTAAGAATTATCATAAATGCCAAATTGGTGTTGGTTCTTAGGCCAATTTTAACATTGTCCTTTTAATATTGACAACGCCTTTATTACATAGAAACAAGGGCTGTATTCGTAATGCCTGTGTACCCACTGTCGTGGCCTCGATCAGGGGTGATGACGGGTTAAAATAAACTAAATTCTCCGTCCGTCCGTCCGTCAGTTAAATTATCAAAAAATAATGAACACATATTTTTTATTCTTACGCGCTATATCTTTGTCAAAAAAATGTTAAAGATATAGCGCGTCAAAGTTTGGTAGTGACGTCACTTCTAAGTAAAATTGTACCAAGACGTGACCTCATGCGACATTTCAAATCAATATATCTATGCAATGTTTTGGTTCTGTGGAAAAGGACAAAATACGTGTAATAAGACCATTTTTATAATATACCTACCTGTAGACGAAGAGAAAAAAGTTAGTCAGCGCCCCTGTTCTGGATAGTGCAGATCTTGCCGCGTTCATTTTGTATTTAATTGAGCATATTTATAATTGTTGCAATAGTTAACGGTTGCAAATATTACAGTTCAGAAATTGAGTATTTACAAACACATGATTTATGATTATGAAAGAGTGATATTTGCTAGGGTTAACGCTGTAATTAGTATTATGTCGACCAATCGTAGAATTGGGCATTGATTCATTTGGAAAATATGCGTTCTTATGATATTGCAAAAATCAGTTATATTATGATTGCCTAATAATACGAGTATACAAACGTAAAATTTGTGTCAATTTTACAATATATTTAAACCATTGATACTGAATATAAAAAATATAAAATTTTAAAACGGAAGTTTTTTATAAAAGGGCTTATTAGTTTAATGATTCTGCGATTGGAGAACGATAGTAAAAAATGGCATTTAACGGCCTTAAGCTGTCATCTTATTTTAATTTCCATTCATACCATCGATCATAAATACTTACGTATAATTTATAATTAATATATTTTTAACAATCATTTTCAAACTAATCTGATGATAATTTCTACATAATTTTCAAAATTGCTACATGCGCTCATGGGTGTCTGAACAGAAGACGGTAAAACAGTTTTTGCTCAATATTTTTTTAAACAATCTATTTGTTAATAACATTTTGTGACTGACAGCATGCTAAATAATTTAAATGTCAATAAATTACAACTTAATTTTTCTAAAGCTTATTTATTTAGACATTATCTGATTGGCTTCCTGTTTTAATTTTCCAAAATTCTTTCTTTTTTATTCTTCTTTTCGTGTTTATCTCTTTGTAAATGTATACAAATAAAATTTGCATAAAATAAATGTATAATATTGTTGTTTCGTTATGTTACCAAGAGATAAACCTTACTACATTTAAAACTCTACGTTTCTAAAACTGTAAATTATTATGAATATTTTATGTGCTTAGACGTGACTGTGTTAACTGATTCTATCCATTTGAATTTCTTCTGTAGATTTAGTAAATGTTTTGAAGACTCGGATAATACCCATAGTGATATTTCAAAACAAACATTCATGTGGGCTCATGTACACACAAATGGGCTCATTGTTTGTCCTGGTACTTTGCAATAAATGTACTTAAGAGACTTCAGACGACTATTAATATGTGTCATATTAGAGAAATCCAATGGATCCAAAGATCACAGATGAAAGATCGTCTGCGAACTGATAAAGTAGTGGGTATTGTCCGAGCCGTACCAGTAGGGGGCAGGCGGCTCCAGGTCTCGTGACTAGAGTAGAGCCGTGACTTGTGTGTTGTTGCAGTAAGGGCCCACACTGCCAAGGACGGCTTGCACAGCGAGGAAATGAGGAAACTCATTGACAGGTCAGTTCTTATAGGCCTATCACACTTTATATCTAACTAAAATACCTATACAATCCCAACACCTAATACTGCAACATTAAATAGTACATTATTTTTTTTTGCACTCATCACACCTACTTTCTAACAAGATTTGTATTGAAATGTACATAACAACACACCTTATAAAATGCTGGAAGATCCATTAGGTACAATGATATCTGAATAGTTAAATACACTACATTACTTACTATACTAATACACACGTTAGCCGATTCCTTGTGTGTGTGCAAGCATAAGAGTTTTTGTGTAATGCCATAGAGATACTAAGTACAAGATAATTAATGCATTCTGTTGGGTGACTAGTCAATGCTCGTAACTAAGCATGTGTTATGTTCCGCATACGTGAACTCCAGGAAACAGTAAGTCAAGTATGTGAACATGTAACTATACTTATTAAATGTTACTTTTGGCCTTGATTTTCATTTATTGTGATTAATTTTTATGTGGCTAACACTATAATCCTTTGTGCACTAAACTTTTTTTTTGCTGAGAATGGTAAGGACTGCGTTTGCTAACAGTTATCATATTAACGGCTAATTTGTTATTTATACCGTCCTTATATTAAGTGTGCGTTATACAAAGCATGGAAAGTTATTTTATATCAATTTAATTACCTACATACAAAAAAAACTTCTACCGAAATTGCTCGATGCCAAGTTAGCTCCCTGGCACTTGTTTATTTTATAGCATATATGATTACGAAATGTGCGCGCTCTTTAACCATGTAAATAGCCAACTCACTCCATAATATAACTGTAACCTGTTACTTTAATTTGGAGCTCGTAAACCTCTTAGGAGAATGTAACGCTGAAGCATCTCAGTAAGTAGTTTATTATTCTTGAGGGCCTATTCTCTGTCACGATAAGCATAGTATCGCACCACTCCAAATCTCAAGAAAACGTTATCAAATTAAATTCTTTACACTATCATATGCTCATTGACTATTACTGTACTGTACTGTATCAGCTAAACAAAACACCGGAAAGAATCGATTCATACTGTTTTAAACAAAAATCATTTCATAACGACACTTCGTCCGAGTGTGTAATTATAAACGTAGAGAATAGATCCTCAGGTAAAAATGCAGTGAGGCGTGTGCCCACTATGCGTAAGTGTAATCGTATCGGGGTAAATGTTACAGACCAGAAGCAGCCACCCCAATCCCCCAGCAAGCAGTCCACGGGCGGGGACTCACAGCCTACGATACTGTGGCAGTGTAACCTGTAAACGCGACGCGACCGCGCAGCGACTCTCATTTCTAACTCTCCTTTATAATACTTATTATTCTTACGGAACGACACTGTCTTGCTGAACCGACCTCGAGCTCAAATTTCATTTACTCATTAGCATTTAATTTGCGCGTTCCATTACGTTTTATTCGCTGCTTTGAAACACGTTGCGCTCAGCAAGCCAGTGCACCTGCAGTGCCAAAATACCATTTCTGTTTTTGTCTCGTTTGTATTAATCGTGTGTCGCATTTTGCGTTGTTGTTTCATTTCAAATTTATCCCAACTTAGTTGTCTGGATTTCTTTTCTTCTTCTTTGTAGGTATAAAACGCGCACATTTGTGCCATAAGAAAATTAGTCCTCGATGCGGGCTCTACTCGTCTGTAGTAAACTTGCAGAAGTGGCTCGTACGCTAGCGCCAAACCCCCTATTCCAGTAATCAAGATACGTCACAATTTAGTGTTACCATGTAAAATCGGAAAATTTATGGTTGTGGTAGTTATTGCAAATTGATATACATATATTTGCTTTATAGTTGATGTGGCGTATTCCTTTCCAATGTGTCCACGCGGGCTAACTTCAGCACATTTACTACGGACCTCTGGCTATTCAGCTCAGTACATAGTCAACCTTAGTTTGATCTTATTTGTTCAGCTTAATTTAACGAGTCGCTGGTACTTGGGGTGATTATGTGTCTATTTAAATTAAGCTCAACATGTAATAATGTGATATTTTGTATTTTTATCCCATTTTTATTTGTATTTGATATACTAACATAAATGTTATTTATATTTTGTGTACTTGTAGGATGATAACTTTTATAAAATCCAAACAACCGATTGGTTGTTAAGATGCTTCCTTTTTTTAAGCTGATGTTGTAGTTTTCATTATGCTTATGTTAATTGGCCTTAATTTTTATCTTATTAATAGTTTCGATTTGCGTTTACGCATTAACTACATAGGAATAAGACTAGATATAAGATTCATTTTAGAGATTATGATTAATCAATTCTTAAAACACTTAATACAACCTACTATATAACCCGTAGCTAGTTAGTAACGTATGTGTTACTTGATATTATATATTAATTATATATAAAATTGAATGTAATCAATGTTAGGTACACTATACACAAAATTATAACCGTACCATGAAAACAAAGTTACCTGAAAATGTTGATATTGGTCAACCGAAACTCTGTTGAAATCAATTAAACAAAACTACAGACATGGAATTATGCTTTTTAAATATGTACTCTAGGATAATAAGGTGCATTTTTATTAATCATTATCGTAATTTTACCCTTCTATAGTAATAATATTATGCAAACGATTAGATGTAAGACACGGGCGTGTCGTTTTCTAGATGTTTCCATTATATGTTGTGCATCGTCGTGTAAGCTTTGCAAGTAGGCTTGTAGTTAGGTTCTCGCGACTTCCTAGCAACAGATATCTTCTCTTAACCTTCCAATTAGAAAATTCGGATTAAATTAGATAAAATTAATGAACAAATTAAAATAGTCGAAATTATAATGTGGTAGCTAATCAACGGAAAATCTATGAAGATATTTTACCAAGAGCTGAATTATAAAATGAATTTTAAAATAAGAATTTGATGATTTTTGCTTAATTAAGATGCGTTTGATTTGCCAATATAATTATTGTGAAAGTGTCAAGATAATTTCTCACATTTTATTAAGCGTTAGGTCATTGCTAACACAGCTAACTGTTTGTACCAAAGCGATTGATTTGTGTTGAATAAAATATTCAAACGTCAACTAAGAGAATAATGTTGTTTTATTTAAACCCCGCAAGTTATGGAGCAAGTAAAATTGTTTCAGCGACTTAAAAAAACTTATAGAACCATTCCTATAATTCAGTAGATTCACCGCAAATCTAGAGTTACGAATATACAATCACAAGTCAAGTTATTATGGAGGCTTCATTAAATTCCCAATAGATTAGGTCGATTGGATACTATACATAACTTGGCTTGAAGCATTCAATTCCATGGATGTACATTCCGTGTTGTACATCACCCGGAGTCTATTTCTACTATTAACTGCTACAAAACGCAAAATGTAAGTATGTATACTATTTAACACTAAGTATACTTCACTAAAGTAATAATAGCAGTGTGAAAACAAAAATACTTCTTTGGCCAGCATTATCAGCCTTCTGCCGGAAGGCCAAGAACATTGTAGAAGTTTGGTTTGTATAATCATATAATCAAATCTTAAGGATACCACATATTATGGTCGATTTATAGCGCAGTCGAAGTGCATAAAGCGTCATTAGACTCGAAAGTGAAACGTTGTTTCATCTATAGTATAGTTAATGTAACGTCAAATAAAAAAAAATGACAAATTGATATTTTGAAGTGAAAACTACTTTAGCACCGTTGTGATTTGAAACTCGAGGAAACAAAAAGGACATTGCTCGTTCCCCATACATTGAATGCCCTGGAACGCCCAGCAATGGGAAAATGCTAGTTGTAGTTCGGAATCATTCATAAACTCTAATTAGGCATTTGTTGAGATACGGACAACTTGAGGAACCGTGGCCTTCTACAGAATGTATTAGATTTTGAGGTTATAATTATTATATTTAATCGTAAAAGATGTACACTTTATATATTCTGAATAGATTTAGTGTTTAGCTCTATGTAAGCACTTAAATAATATGCATTAAATGAACATAAAATGCAAATAATAATAAAAATGATAAATGCTTATAATTATCATAGGCATAGGCAGTTGGCACCTATGATACCTATGATACCTGTAGTAATAATAGATTTCTTTTCAAATGAAATGTTCAGTCTTTCCATTAACCTGTTTCTATATTTTACTATCGGTAATTAGGTATGTACCTGGTTATCATTATGATTTTCATAAAAATAAACAGATATTACATGGGATGGGAGTATAAACTATCTTTACATAATTTCAGAAATAATCTTTTTATAAATATAATATAAATACTAGTAGGTAATAAGTATTATTAACTAAGGTACCTAGTTCTATTTTTTATGTTGATAACTACCTATGGTCGCCTATATTGCAATTATTCAGGTAAACATCTTGGCACAACTTTTTATCAGAATTACCCATTTAATAATTAAATATTAACGAAGCCAATAAACTATTAAAATAAATCGTTATAGACTGAAACCTATTGAATCCAGTTATCAGTTGATTTTTAATGCTGTATTTTCAATAAAAAGGAGTGCCAACATTGTTTACCAAATAGGACAAGTTGGATGAACAGACTGTAGTATCTAGTAACAAAACTTTTATTTTTATTTTCTTAAACAGATTGTCCGTTTACTATGATAAATTGCTAATAAGTTAAAAAAAAAATAGTGAAGGACATTCTTTTGGGCATGTTAGGGCCGATTTCGTCGATGTCCTTTAACAGTATTTGACACGAGGTATTATTTTGTAACTCGGCAAGAGACAGCCGAACGGTTGTCTTGGGGTTGACACAGATTGATCGGTGGTTCGATCCAGAGCTTGGTTATTTTTTTATTGTTTTTTTATATTAAGCTATTATTTATTCTTCGAAACAAAAATATAGAATATTTAATTTTGCCCAGTATTTTACAATACCTGAATAGTTAAGTATTAAATTTTGGTTAGATGCCTAAGTTGTTTGCATTTTTTGCACAGTAATTTTTTTATAAATAAATTAGTTTGAAAAAACCCTAAGATAAGAAAAACTTAACAAAAGAAATAAAATAAAAATAGCTCGTAACAAATAAAGCCGCGGGCGGCTGAAGGGCTTTTACGTGTTCACATTTTTGTAGGTTTTACTTCTATCGCATGTGAACAGGACATGTCCGTTTTTTATAGGATTTAACGGGTGTTACGGTGGTCAAATCGACAAATTAGAGAACTTGGTAATTCGTCAAATCATCTTTTCGTCAAATTATAGGAGAAATTGGTAATTCGTCAAATCTTCTTTTCATCAAATTGTGCAATTTGCCAAATACGCCGCTGGTCAAATGCACGGTAATATTATCTATACAGTATTCTATCTTCATACAATCGGTCGGAAAGCGTGTCATACCTACGCCACTCGAGTTCGCGCGGCACCCGGTGGGCATCCAGTCGCGAATGCGCCGCAGCGACGACCGAACGGTGTGAATTGTTTTTTAAGCAATTAGCCGTGCTTAAACATTTGTATTGTGAATATTTGATTGAATTAAGTAATAGTTAACAGTAATTCCCTTTACCTTTTAGGTTCTCCAATTTTTTAATGAATCTATTTCTGAATATATTAATAATTCAATTAATAAATTCCAAAATTCCGCTGACCGTCTCCTTGAAATTAGTCCACATTATGCACTTTGTATCTTAAAATTCTGTCTTTTTGTCCCAAAATTTACGTATGTCCTCCGTTGCTGCTCCTTTTGGAATCATCTAGATCTTTTGACACAAGTAGACGACTTAATCAAAAATAACTTAGAATCGATTCTTAATATGCAGCTTAACGAGCAATCTAGGACCCAAGCATCCCTACCCATCCGTTATGGTGGTTTAGGGATTCGCAAAATTTCCAGTGTCGCTTTACCAGCCTTCCTATCTTCTGTCCATAGTTCAGCAAATCTCATAAGTAAATTTTTAAGGCCATCCCCTTCAAACTTTGAGATTGCTGGCTTGGAAGAAGCTAGAAACGCTTTCTTAATTGCATGCCCAGGTCAAAATTTTCCAGTTTCTCGTTTACATTAACTGTAAATTGACTTATGATAACCTTTTGAGCTGTAGTACAGGTTCGGCGCGTGCTAGGATTTTGGCCGTGGGTGCGCACGAGGCCGGCTATTGGCTTCACGCGTACCCCTCGTCAAATACAGGTACATTTCTTGAGCCTGACACGCTCCGAATCGCAACCTGTCTACGGCTTGGGGTCCCGGTCTGTGCTCCTCATAAATGTCCCTGTGGCAGTGATGTCGACAAGCTAGGACATCACGGACTTTCATGCCAAAAAAGTGCAGGCCGCTTCTCGAGACATGCCGCACTTAATGATATCATACGCCGGTCCCTTGCCATTGTCAACGTGCCAAGTCTACTTGAGCCGACTGGTATTGCAAGAGACGATGGCAAGAGACCAGACGGTATGAGTTTGATTCCATGGAAGATGGGTCGGGTGCTGGTATGGGATGCAACCTGTTCAGACACGCTGGCCCCTTCCCATCTACATGGAACCAACAACAGAGCTGGTGCGGCTTGTGAAGCGGCTGAAAAAGCAAAAGCAAGCAAATACAGGGGTCTAGGCTCCGAATATGATTTTGTCCCATTCGGTGTCGAGACCCTTGGTCCGTGGGGTCCTAGCGCTTTAAGGCTATTTAAGGAAATAGCAAAAAGGTTAGTCGACATCACAGGAGACCGAAGAGCTGGCAGCAACCTCGGACAAACAATTAGTCTAGCCATTCAAAGGGGTAACGCTGCCAGTATCTTTGGATCCTTGCCTAAAGGGACTGTTTTTAATAATATATTTTAGTTATTAATTTTATTTTTAAGGTTTTTAGTTTTAGTTTTATTGTTCTAGTATTTATATATATAGTAATTATGTAATTAGATTATGTTTTTTTTATGTTTCTAGAAATAAATGTATCGTACTTTTTCATTATAATATGGCAAAGAGCAATAGTCGATATTGTGCTGTTTGTGGTTGCTTGAACTCTTCAATAAATAAACTTTTTATACGAATGTGTATTTAGGACACTAATAAATTTAATAATAAAGCTTTTCGTACGTCTCAGTCGAGGCGTAAATATTTTTCTGTCTCAAATCTTTTTTTTTTATTAAATATTATACTTAAAATAACATGTATTTTATGTAACACTTCCTAATTCATTCACAACATTTTTATTACATATGATATAAAATATTTACAATCAAAAAACTAGAAAGAAACTCAATTATGTAGATGATATTAAAATACTGTAGGCAGGCAGCCCTACCGCGTGGAAACGCCCCGCTCGGCCGTAGGCAGTTATTTCAAGGACAGGGCCGAGTCACAATACTGTATAGATAATACAGTGAAACCTGGTTAATTGGGATCTCAAGGGACCAAGACATATGTACCAATTATTGAGGGTATCCAATAATCCAGTTTTCCAATTAAGCTGGTTTAAAATTATAGTTGTCTCATTTACAGAGGCCCCCGCTTACAGAGGTCGAAATGTGCCGTTATTCACTTGTTTTTAGGTCAAAACCTGAGATAGTACTGAAAAACAAAGCATGCGCGAAAGACGACGCGAAATGTATGTAAACAAACATGTCAAAACGTGTTACAACCTGATTAATTAGTCTCACTTATACAGGTAATTGAGCTTCAGAGTCTCAATTATAGAGGTAAACATTGAAAGAGTCTTAGAATTCAAATCTCGTTTAACCAGGTTCAAAAAGTCCCATTTCAGAGGTAATTAAATGAAAAAGAACCGGGACCTCATTGCAACCCTCTTAAGTGGGGCCTGGATAAGTGAGGTTTCTCACTTATCCAGGTCCCACTTAACCAGGTTTCACTGTATTACCGTGTCAAATGCATGTACAGTAGCTGTAAGAAGTTCTACGCGAAAAATCCTAGCCAAATAGAAGCAAAAAGCCCGAAACATATTATGTCATATAGAGCCCAGAGATTCCAAGACTTTCAAAGCCTACTTATTTTCTCATGGAAAAAATATAGATAATCACACATATTAATTAAGTATATTTAAAAACATTTAACTGCTAGATGTTTAAATCTAGTGAAAAATTTACTGAAAAAATATTTAGATAAATAATTAAATTTAATATTAAAGTGGGGCTCCCATGCAACAGACGTGATTTTTTGCCGCTTTCTTGTCCGATATTATAATATTCTATGAGGAGCTGGCGAACAAAACGGTATAATTACGCATCTGGTCAAACTAATTTTTATTTTACAGTCCGAAGGTTTCGGGTCCGTTAATTTTGAATCTCAAATCATTTTCAATCAAAACCGCCTAAAACAATGTTAAAAATTACTAAATTTATAAATTAAAAACCATGCCAAAAGCTCACTGGAGGTATGACATTCAGTTTTATACAGCTCCTGGAAAATTTAATTTTATGTAATTATACCGTTTTGTTCGCCAGCTCCTCATATCTCATTTTGTACAGATAATGGTACGGAGTCTCTTTTTTCTGCCCGTCTTGTGTGATAATCCCGATTTTTTCATGATTCTGTCCCGAAATCTTGCCCTTTACACCTGGCTTGTCATTGGTATGTTACAGCTTAGTGCGATTATATCTAAGTTTTGTGCTCTCTTTGTATAGTGTACTTTAGTCTATAACATACATCTACATATGTCTATAACATAGAGCCCATAGAGCGCAAAAAATACTAAGCACAAACCTTAGATATAATCACACTAACCCACCAATTTCGGTGGGTTAAATAAATATTTTAAGCACAGAATTTTCTCTTAACTCTTGGCACTGCAAGTCGATTACTATTTATTATATATTTATACATGGGTTAACATTAAACACGGTCATTAATGAGTTAAATCTGAACTGCGCAAGTGGCCCTAAGAGAGACAAGCGTGTAAAAACTCGGCACATTTTAGTTAGTTTTTTAGTTTTTCCGGGCGGTTTCCGCACTCAGTCCTAATTATTGGACCATTGTGGGTGTGTAGAAACATTCTTGAAACTCAGCACATTGATCACATAGCTGCATAGGTTTTATTTTCAGTGTGTGTTTCTCTAACTAAGAAGAGCCTTTAATGACATAGAGATATAAGAATAGAGTGGGGAAAGCGGCTCTAAAAGTGTCCGTCTAGTAGAAAGAGATAGAAGATAAGAGACGGCTAGCTATCTCTCTCTCTTGTGACAAATGGCATCCAATGGCATCACATCGAAATAGTAAGATGCTTACGGTTGCCAATGCGCATGCGCGATTAGAGAGAGAAAGCTAGCAATCTCTCCTCTTCTTTCTCTTTCTATTAGAGGGACACTTCCACTTGTCGTAGAGCCTATATCTCCCCTACTCTATTCTTATAACTCTATGTTTAATGGTATCAAAAAATGTTACGTTGTTACGCTGGATATGATTATAGTTTTTTGTTTGTAAAAGGTTTTTGAATGATATAGAAGGTAGGGTAAAGTAGGGCATGTGGTAATCATCATCTGCGTTTTATGGGTTCCGCAACTAAAGTGTGACACTACCGAACTCTACTACCAAATCTGCTGCTGCTTACGAGCCATAAAGAGTTAAAATGTTCACAGAATTTGTATTTCTATCTATCAGTCTTCACGCGGGCGGGGTAAGCAGAGAGCGCAGACAGACCGCCAGATAGGTATTGACGTTATAACGACAAAATAAAATGTTTTTTTTACTAATTAGTTTTTCTACTTTTGTTATGCTCAAGTATACAATGGACGGAACCCTTCCTGCCTTTCATTTGTGCGGCTTTTAATAAAAATGGTGACCCCAAGAATTAATAGACAAAAATCTCTTGGCGTATTGCTGGGTATCTGAGTATATCTGAAAGATAGAGTGAGCCCAGCGATTCTTTTTAGACAAAATACCTAGACTTTACTTCCTAAAAATCTAGTACCTATGGGAGTTAAGCTCAGCTCAGAAGTCCAAACTCAAATTTTGACAGCTCCGTAATCGTATCGTCAAATGTTGTATGGAAATTAGTTTGTTCTTAAATCCGATAGAGGCGCTGCTTAGTTTTCATAGAAATTTTGACGATGACGGAGCTGTCACTGATACACAGTAACAATCAATGGAGATGATTAAAATAAATTTTGATCTACCGAAACGTAAGTGCTTTATTTATATATAATGGGAGTAATTAAATAGTTACAGTTTAACACTAACTGTTGTAACAGCGCGACGCAGAATTGTTCACGCCGACGCGGCCTTCACGATTTCTTCGGCCACTTCTAGGGCGATGGCCGCCTCGGCTTTAGCCTGGAGAGCAGTTTATTTATTAAAAACGACGATGAAAATGAAACTTAAAATTATTAACAAAAAAGTCATAGCATAGCAGGCGAGCTTTCTACTACTAGACCACCTATGCTTGTTGATAAGATCAGAAATTTTAATAACAATGAAAATGTAATGGGACTTGGTAAATATGAACAAAAAAAATTTAGCAATTAAAAAAACTTCTTAGCTGTTACATATTTGTCTTTAAATTTTATCCCATACTAAAACCCTCCGGACTGGGCCTGTGTGGTGGATGAATGGCCTGTTCTCTCTATTCCATCCATAGGAAAGGTCAGTTCAGTTTTTCAGACTTTAAATTTGACCTTTTTTTTTAATGGAGTAGATCTACTTTTAGATAAAATTCGAATTGTAGTTTGAATTTAGTCATAACTTTCAAAATCGTAAATATAACAGAAACTCTTTCGATTTCTTATTTGATTCTTATTAAAACTGAAACAAAAAATCTTAAAACTATGATCAAAGCTCTAAAAAAACTAACGTCAACATTATATGACAGGGAGAGGCAGCAAGATCTGTAATTTTTATTATTATTGTTCTGAAAATAACAACTTTGTTTCCAGGGACACATACATTCAAGCGAATTTCTAACCTCTGTGAAGTTAGCCCCCCACTTTTTGAATTTTATTATTATCTAGGTTGTTCTGGGTTGTTCTATGTTTGTTCTACATTGTTCCAAAGTATTATTTGAAAAAACTAAAATTTGAAGCTGCCAGACAAGAAAAACCGTTTTTCTATGGTAGCCCCCCATGTTTGGAAATTCAATATTTTTTTAGTTGTTCCAAGTTGTTCTAGTTGTTCCGAACATTGTTCCAAAGTATTATTTGAAAATATTCAAATTTGAAGCTGCCAGACAAAAAAAAACGTTTTTATGGTAGCCCCCCATGTTTGGAAATTCAATATTTTTTTAGTTGTTCCAAGTTGTTCTAGTTGTTCCTAACATTGTTCCAAAGTATTATTTGAAAATATTCAAATTTGAAGCTGCCAGACAAAAAAAACGTTTTTATGGTAGCCCGCCATGTTTGGAAATTCAATATTTTTTTAGTTGTTCCAAGTTGTTCTAGTTGTTCCGAACATTGTTCCAAAGTATTATTTGAAAATATTCAAATTTGAAGCTGCCAGACAAAAAAAAACGTTTTTATGGTAGCCCCCCATGTTTTGAAATTCAATACTTTTTTAGTTGTTCCAAGTTGTTCTAGTTGTTCCTAACATTGTTCCAAAGTATTATTTGAAAAAACTCAAATTTGAAGCTGTCAGGCAAAAAAATCCGTTTTTGAGATAGCCCCCCATGTTTGGAAATTCGTTATTTTTAAAGTTGTTCCAAGTTGTTCTAGTTGTTCCTAACATTGTTCCAAAGTATTATTTGAAAAAACTCAAATTTGAAGCTGTCAGGCAAAAAAAACCGTTTTTGAGATAGCCCGCCAAGTCAAATCGTACTAGAGACAATAAATAAATCAACAATAATTTTAAACAATGACGATTGTATCAGTACAACCGTGGGCTATATCGTTCCAATTTCATTTAATCATTTTGAATAAAATTAATAGTTATAAGACAAGAAAACATTACACTATAGGGTAATCTCCCTAATTGTTGGCACCTTAAGAGTAGGTTCCATGTCAGTCAGACATTAAATTACCATAAAATCACATCTAAATGAGTTAGTACACAACACATGTAACAGTATCAAAGAAATATAGTTCAATCTTTGTTTTCATAATAGTACAGTCAATGAAGGCAAAAATCAGCTATAACCTCCGATTTCGATGAACCTCCATCGATTTTCATGAAAAATGGTAATGAGGTGGGGGATACCATATGAAACAAATGTGACATAGTGCCAACTTGCGCTTTTTCCCTAGGGGTAGATACCACCCCTTCTCGGGGGTAAAAATTATTTTAATAAAAATAACTCCAGGAATCGAGAGAAAGACAAACTCTAAGCAAAAGTTGTTATGTTAAGTTTTCGAAATAAATCAATACTTTCTGACTTAATAATGATCAAAGATTGTGATTTTGCGTCAAAAAATTCATGTTTTACGCGGTTTTTCATAAATATTTCAAAAGCTATGAGTTTTAAGAAAAATATATTATTACTAGACGCAACGAATATTCGGTATTCGGCCTATTCGGCTGCTTTTATTATATTTGGCCGAATACCGAATACCTACATATTATTCGGCCGAATACCGAATACTTAAATAATATATTTTGTCATAGAGAAATAATTGGTAAAATGAAAATTAATATCGATTGATTACGTAGGTATATATTCATATTTTCATTTCTGTTATATATAATCATTAAAGTAGCCATTGGTACATAATCATCTTCTGAATTGGAAAAATGGAGGATTCTATGTATTTGAATTATTGTGGTAATCAAAATTTAAAAGGGTAAGGTTCTCATTTCTTTTATAATCATTTATTAAGTAGTCATTGGTACATAAAACAGGAACATATTTTAATCATTTTCTGTATTAAACAAGTTAAGAATTTTTCTATGCATTTGAATTATTTTCATAATCAAAGTTTAGAAGGGGAAGGTTATGGTGCAGAAAGACAAAAATTTCTGCATTTTTAGGAAGTAGTAGAAATTCTTTTTTTCTCGTACACCATCCCAGCTTCAGAGTAAAGGCGCTCTGAATAAACACTACTTCCTGGCGCCGACAAATATTTTGCTGCAATCTTAATCAAACACGGAAATTCAATTTTCCTTGCTGCCACCATGTATATGGGTTGTCATGATGTGATATATTACTAATATTTAAGAAAAGATCCATTTCTGTTGAAACTGCGTTTGACTGAATTGCACTGCAAACAAAGGGGCGCGAAACAAGCACGTTTGTACAAGTTTTTGGCGCTAAAATCCAGCCGAATACTTTTGCCTAATATTCAGCTATTCGGTCAGGGGCCTCGCCGAATATTCGGTATACTGCCGAATATACTATTCGTTGCAAGTCTAATTATTACAAAAATTGAAGCTAATAAAAAAAACAAAAACCTTCTTATATGAATTCAAAGTGAGCTATAGGTAATTGTATGTATATATTTTTTCGACGAGTACTTAAATCTAAGTTTCCAACCCTAAATAACGGGAAACCGATGCATTTTGATGAATGGTTGGAATTATTTTTCGTTTTTCCTAAAAAAAATAAGTGTTATCTTATTTTTATCATAACTTTTTCAATTTTGAAGCTATTAACTTTTTACAGTGCTCATTATAAAGGTATTTCTGAGGAATTTAAAAAGTGCTCCGGAAGTGTATGTCATAAATTCATCGGTTTCCCGTTATTTAGGTTTGAATACTTAGATTTAAGTACTTGCCGAAAAAAAAATATGTACATACAATTACCTATAGCTCACTTTGAATTGAAATTAGAAGGTTTTTCAAAGTAGGCGTTTGTTTGTTTTTATATTAGTTTCAATTTTGGTACTAATATTTTTTTTGTAAAACTCATAGTTTTTGAGTTATTTATGAAAAACCGCTTAAACATGTATTTTTATCACGCAAAATCACAATATTTAATCTTTAATAACTCAGAAAGTATTGATTTATTCCGAAAACTTAATATAACAAATTTTACTTAGAATTTGTCTTTCTATCGATTCCTGGAGTTATTTTTATTAAAATAATTTTCACCCCCGAGAAGGGGTGGTATCTACCCTCAGGGCAAAAGCGCAAGTTGGCACTATGTCACTTTTGTTTCTTATGGTATCCCCCACCTACTTACCAATTTTCATGAAAATCGATGGCGGTTCAACGAAATCGGAGGTTGCAGCTGATTTTTGCCTTCATTGACTATACCATTATGAAAACAAAGATTAAACTACTTTCTTTGATACTGTTACATGTGTAACATGTGTTGTGTACTAACTCATTTAGATGTGATTTTATGGTAATTTAATGTCTGACATACTACCTACTCTTAAAGTGCCAACAATTAGGGAGTTTACCCTATATTCTAATGTTTTCTTTTCTATTAATTTAATTCAAAATGATTCAATGAAATTGGAACGATATAGCCCACGGTTGTACTGTTGTTGTACTATCGTCATTGTTTAAATTGATTTTTGATATATTTATTGTCTCTGGTAGGTACGATTGATTTTATTTTATAAATAAAAAATTTTTTTTTTTCTTACAGCTTCATATTTTTTTTTTTCAAATAATACTTTGGAACAATGTTAGGAACAACTAGAACAACTTGGAACAACTAAAAAAGTATTGAATTTCAAAACATGGGGGGCTATCTGAAAAACGGTTATTTTTGTCTGACAGCTTCAAATTTGAGTTTTTTCAAATAATACTTTGGAACAATGTTAGGAACAACTAGAACAACTTGGAACAACTAAAAAAGTATTGAATTTCAAAACATGGGGGGGCTACCATAAAAAAGGTTTTTTTTGTCTGGCAGCTTCAAATTTGAATATTTTCAAATAATATTTTGGAACAATGTTAGGAACAACTAGAACAACTTGGAACAACTAAAAAAATATTGAATTTCCCAACATGGGGGGCTACCATAAAAACGTTTTTTTTGTCTGGCAGCTTCAAATTTGAGTTTTTTCAAATAATACTTTGGAACAATGTTCGGAACAACTAGAACAACTTAAACAACTAAAAAAATATTGAATTTCCAAACATGGGGGGCTACCATAGAAAAACGGTTTTTCTTGTCTGGCAGCTTCAAATTTTAGTTTTTTCAAATAATACTTTGGAACAATGTAGAACAAACATAGAACAACCCAGAACAACCTAGATAATAATAAAATTCAAAAAGTGGGGGGCTAACTTCACAGAGGTGAATTTCTACCCTACTGTTTTGCAATGACTGTAAGAAAAAAAATCTTATGGTGGGTCAGGATTAGGGTTACCAACTTTTTTTCTATCCAATATAGAATTTTCGAACCTCTAAAAATACAGGGTGTTTGGAAGACGAGTGCAAAGCTTTAAAGGAAAGC